GGTCATGCTGTTCTAAGTTTTTTACCTAAGTGCCTGTACTTTACCTTAATAGTGCATAAAAATTGAGCGTTCAAGCCGGTTTCATTTTAGAGTTGGCTTGATAAATTTTTTCTCCGTGGGGCTAGTTAACCGCGCGTGTGGGCAATTAAACAATCACAGATATCGTAATGTTTCTAATTCATATTTATAGTATAGATTTTATCTGTTATAATACGATGTTCCGAATTCAATAATAAGAGATTTCCTAAGGATAATGGAAAGGACATCTAGACTTTTGAAAATCCTGTTTAAAAAAAATAATTTAAGAATAAATTTACAAGTAATCGATGAATCCATAATACTGAAAAATTTGTTTTTGATTAATCGATTATTAAATACCGATTTTCAAATCAACCAATTTGAATATTAATTTTCGATAAATAAAAATTATCGGGTAAAACGTAAAATAAATAACTAAGTGGTAAAAAAATAAAATACAGTAAAACCTATCTTTTACGGACCCTTGATAATACGGAATCCTGTTCTGGGCGGAATTTATTATGATCCCGACAGATTTCTATAATATTTAATATAGGATTAAACCTTTAATAAAATGAAACTTGTCTAAAGTAAAACGGGAAGCTTTTTTGGTCACGTAAATCATTTATGACTTGTATACCTTCAACAAACAGAAAAACATATTATAAAATGAACAAAAATATCTTTGATACCCACCTATATTTTATCTTGAATCTATATAATCAGTGCTCATTATTATCACACCATATAGTCGTAGTTTTGCTGTCTTTCGTCTTGTCTTAATCTCACCACAATGTCTTCAAAGATTTGTTTAAGTTTAAATGAAAAAAATGAAAGTTACAGAACAAAGTTGTTAATTGTTAAAAAAACAATTGAACAAAAACTTTACATGAATTTTTGAATTTTTAATTGTATTTTAATCTGCTTACTTTATTTTATAATATTATTATTTGATTAATACTTATTAAATATTCTGTTCTTCAAATTTTGCAATTGAAATTTATCATTATTTTAAAATACTTATTATAATTAATACATATTATGTAATTATTTATTAAAAATTAAAATTTATTGTAGTCTATGATATTTATTAATTTTTATTATTGATCGGAAAATGTTAATCATGCAAAATATTGTAACTCTATAGTACAGAATTTTCCTTTTTATTCAGTTACATGGAAACTTATTTAAAACGGTTATTTTTATTACCTAGTCTCGTGCAATTCTGCACAGGATAGGTTTAACTGTCATCTTAAAGTCCTGATCGTAATATTATTTATAACAATTCAATAACGAATTACTGTTTAAATTATAATTTTTTTAGGTATACAAATGATAACTAGATGAAAAATAACTACAGTTATCATAAATCAGAGAGGAACTAATTGCATACTAAGATATACAATTTTAAGGGGCTAAGCATTATTTCTAAGCAAATAAATGATAATAAATGATTACCAAATTATCAGCAGATAAAATCAAAATTGAAAACAATAAATTTTAATCAATCTATGAATTTATTACATCACATATTTATCATAAATGTAATATATTATTAATTTATATGATTCTTAAAACATAAAACCACAGTGGACTAAAGAATATATAAATAATGTACTGAATGTATAATATAAATAAAATGTATACCACATAAAATACTTATACAACAATATTAGTACCAGTAAAAAAATTATTACAAATCTTCGGTAGAAATTAAACATAGTAACTTAAGTTAAAAAAAAAAAAAAATACGTTATGACAGAACAAAGTAATTATATATAACTAATTAATAGGATTATTGTACTACACAATTTCATACACCAAGGATAGGCAACTTAATTGCACTAGAGAGCCAATTTTTTTGAAAGTTAAAATTTAACGGTCCAATTTTACGCTTTTTAGCAGCCATTCTTGAAACTTTATATTTAGAATAATAAAACCAAAGCAATCAGCCAGAAGGATATGATTAAACTGAAAATCTATTAGCTTTGTTAACTATGCCTCTTTTAGTAACATAATATTAAGACATTTAATAGTTAAATACTGGATAATAATTCATAATATCTAAGTTTTACGATAAACATCATATTAATTTTATAATTATAATAAATTAAAATACAGAAAATCCTAACATACTATATTTTTATAAAGTAATTTGAAATGTAGCATGGGTCAGTTAAAAATAGTAAGTGGGCCGCGAATAGCCTGCAGTTACCCATCCTTGATATACATAATAGTATTTTAATGAATTTATACATTAATTGTGAACTATTTGGTACCCATACAAAGTAGTAGCTCGCGAGGTTCATTGGAAGTGGGGCACAAGTATTTCCCTAATTTTCCGTTATCAAAACTTTGAACTTTGAAGGTAAAACCGACAACATTTCGTAAATCGTTATTAACATAGAATCCAGACACAATCCAATTGTGCTCGACAACATTATATTAATTCATTCTGAAAAGTGGAGAAAATGTTTAGTGAGACCACTGAGACCCATTATCTTCTATGAAAATAAAGAAAGATACATAAATTATAAATATTGTATTCCTTGAGTCTTAATTCTAACAGAAAAAAAAAAGATTTTCATAAAAATTAACTTATTAACAATATTAATTTTGATAATGGCACACAATTGTTTTAATGGTACTAAGTTGATTATTATTTTTAAGTTGTTTTTGTTATACTTGGAAGAATTTTTTCTTTTTATTAAGCACTACAATTTGTTTTATTTTTACAATATTTAAATTTAAATAAACGTCTGGTAGGCTCAAGTAGATTTATAACATAATTAATTTATAGAATTTCGTATTACAATAATAGGTTTGAGTAAAATGTAATCATACAGATGTGGTACATAAGTTAAACAATAAACATAACAAGTAGAAAATAATTATTAATATTTAGGCACATTAGTGATTGAAATAATTAGATTTTAGATCTGACAGATTATTAAAAAATAAATCAAATTTTGATATATTTCTTAATGTTAAGGGTATATAAAGTGGATTATTTTGTTTACAGTTTTGAACGGCGAGTTTTAATATGAAATGTTGATCATGGACGAGAATTGTATTACGATATGTAAAACAAAATATACTTTAAAAGTGGAGAGCAAGAGGTGAAACCATTAATTAATTTATACAAAAAAAAAATATATTTGATATATTGCAAATGGGGTAAAAGAGAATAAAGTTTTTAATATTATTTGCTAACCTTTTTTTATATCCTATAAAACGAATAAATTTTCTTTGTAATCGTTTGAGTTTTTCTATGAGTAATTGCGGTAAAATTCCATATAATTGTAATTGATTTATCACTATTTATTGAATACGTGTTTTTGATAACTATTTATATAAGTACAATAAAATTCGCTTAATGGGGACAGTGATCTATCTGTCCCCATTATCCAACTGCCCCAATTAACCAATTTTTTTTTAAAAAAACTTAAAAAACTTATTAAATACATATACATAATAATTTATATGCCTAATCTAACTTTAGGACACTAGTACTTTCGAGGTAGAGCTTTTATTTTATCCAGTGCAAAAATCTTTTTATTCAACTTAAAATTTTTATGAAACATTTTTGCTACTTGTAAAAATGTTAATACAAACTGTGATTGTTAAAAACAGAACATACCTACATAGATCCGAAAGATCGATAAAATAATTTTGTACGCAGGTTAGTCAACTCAATTATTTCCATGAAATATGTGGTAGTGGGAGATAAAGAAATAATAAGCAAAAGTAAAATACGTCGATAATTGTTATTATTTAAGACATAAGATTATTATATGAAACGTGATAGACATAGAAATTAGATAATTACAGTTTTGATAAGAAACTAAGTATTTATAGACTAGTCGACCCGTCACGGCCTTGTCCGTGATTGGTTGTTTATATTTTGCCTTCGGAATATGATATAATATTGATATGTGGAATTATTTTGTATTTAAATTTTGTTGTTTAAAAATATAATCGGCTAATAAATATAAAAAATGGTTAATGAAAACGTATTGAAATGTTTCTAGTAGTAGTAAGTATTTGGTAAATGCTTTTGAAAAAAAAATTGGAAAAATCTTAAATAAGTGTCGTCAGAAAATTGGAACTTATAAATATAATACACCCCTCCCAATCCCCTCCAGACAAAAAAATTAAGAATTGGGTAATGTGGTGACATTCAGGACAACTGTGAACAACTCTGTGAAAAATATTGGGGATAACACCAAAATGAGAACATAAAAAGGCATGTTCTTGCAGAACTCGCAGAGGTTCCAAAAATTAGCTTTGTTTTTAATTTTTCAAGAATTTTATAATTAACTTTTGAGTTAGTTAAATCTTACCATAAAATATTGTGAATAAATGCATGGTATAAATAGATAGATAATATCTTTAAATTAATTTAGATATTTTTAAAATTTCATTCTGTATAATTATAACAACTCTTATAACATAAGTGTTTTAATTGTAACCATGGTTACAAAATAATAATATTGGATATGCGTAAAAATTCCATTTTCTTAATTTATTTTAACTCATAAATTACTCCACTAAAACACAACAATTTTGAAAATCTTTACTTATTACACTGTGAAAATATGAGAAGAACCTCTTTTTCAAATTTCAAGTTTGTACGTTGTGTAGTTTTTGAGTTGCAGCGATCAGTGACTAAGTAGTATTTGGATTTTATATGTATAGATTATTATATGTCCTTTATAACCGATGATTTGTCCCCATTAAGCGGATTCTACTGTATAATTAATTTTTTGATTATTAAAATATAAAATATAAGAAATTGAAAAGTTAAAATAATTAAGAAATGTAAAAGACCTGTTATACTGTATCTTTATTTAATTTAAATTCCAAGTTACTTTTTAAATTTATTTATAAAATATTTTATACTTTTAGCAATATGTTAAATATTGTCAAATATGAATATTGTTTATTTATACTTGCATAAAAATAAAATATATATTAGGTACCTAAAAAAGGATGTTATGATTTACTATTGAATAATTTAAAACTAGTTGTGTTGCTATGAATGAGCATTAATTAACATTAAGGATTAATATATCAATATTTGTAAGTTATAAGTTTAATGTGAAAATTTTTCTTCTGGCATACTGAGCTCCATTTCAATTTCTCCAAGCGACATTGGTAGATTATTACTTAAATTACCAACACGAGGGTTGACAAAGTCTTCACGAGGGATTCGCTTACTAAAATGTCTTTCAACCCATTTCAGCATAGTCAACACAGAATCTATGCTTGGTAAACGACGTTCAGCTGAAGTTTTAACTATTTGAGACTGGGCTACTCTGAAAGTTGCTGCCATACCTTTTAATGCCTTTAAAATAATAATTAAATATAATTAGGTGAATGTATTTTTTATTTTAAGATGAATAAAAAATACCTGCATTGCATCTTCATCAGTTACATCATCTCCTGCATAAATAATGCGTGTACGTTCACTCCAATTTAAACCAAAAGCTGTACGTAATATATACAAAGATGCGCGTCCTTTATTCCATTGTACTGGGGGTTTGGCTTCAATAGCACAATGAGCCTGACCTGCCTTAAATCCAGCTTCTTCAATGAGATGCTGTGCTGTAGATATGAGTTCAGGTCGAATATCAACAGGCACTTCACGATAATGGAATGTCAATAAAGTACCTTTATTTTCTACCCAAGCACCATCTTTGCAAACCTAAAAGTATAAAAACAAATAAGTAAATAACATATTGATAATTATTTTATATTTACTTTTTTTTGAAGCACTTTAAATAGATCACCAACTTTCTCTACATATTCTTTAGGCATTGGATGTACAAACCTACTACCATCTGGATGAAGAATTTCCAGTCCATGATTACCAGCATAAGTCAAACCCTCAATACCAACCTAATGTTAATATTAATTAAAATAATTAAATTTATTTTATAGTATATGTTAGAAAACTAAAAATTTAATAACAAACCATGTCTTTAACATTGTGAACATTTCGGCCAGAAATAATAGCTATGTATACATCAGACATATTGACCAATCTTTCTAAAACACTTTTAGTTTCTGGAGGTAATTTGGCGAGATCTGGGTGAGGAGCTATTGGAGCTAATGTACCATCATAATCTAATAGTAATGCAAGTTTGTTTGTGTTACCAATATATCTATAATACAAATGATTAAATAAAATATATTTATACATGGCATTATATCATTTTAAAACTAGTATTTACTTAGACAAATATTCATCAAAGTCTTGTAAAGTGACTGGTTGCATAGTAGTTGGCAAAACATCATCTCCGTTTTCAAATATTAGAGTTCCCATTGCTTTAAGAAAAGATCGCATCCAAAAATTAACATCATGTACTTTTTCTCTACGTCTCAAACACCTCATTCTTAATACTCTTTCATCTTCGGGCATGGTCAATGCTCTATGCAATATATCAGCTGCTTCAACTAATTCATATGGATTACAAATTAAAGCTTCATTCATCATTTCACCGGCTCCAGCAAATGGTGATACAATAAGGACACCTGGAGGTTCTTTAATTTGACAAGCAACAAACTCTTTAGCTACTAAATTCATGCCATCTCGAAGTGGTGTTACCATAGCTACAGCCGAATCACGATAGAAAGCTGCCAAATCATTTTGATTGACATACCCATAAATATATCTAATTGGTGACCAATTAAAAGTTGAAAAACGTCCATTTATTCGTCCAACAAGCTGGTCCATTTCTTCTTTAAGATCTTGGTATTCCTTAACATCTGTACGTGATGGAACAGCAATTTGTATAAGTACTACTTTACCCTTATGTTGTGGATATCGCTCCAATAGTAATTCAAAAGCCTTTAGTCTATGTACTAATCCTTTAGTATAATCCAATCGATCAACACCAAGTACCAATTGTAATGATGTACTTATTACTCTGGGTGCTTGGTTAGCCATATCTACAAATCGGTCAAATGGTATACCAATTGGCAATGGACGAATACATACTGTACGACCACCATGTTCAACTAGTAAATTTTTACGATCCACTCGACAACCTAATCTCCGATGACAACAATCCACAAAATTTAAGCAATAGTCTCCAATATGAAAACCAACCATATCACAACCTTGAATATAAAAGTAAACATGAGTTATTTACCATGAGTATTAAACTATAATTAGATAAGTGAGTATATACCTAACATTCCTTGAAGAACTTCATCAGCCCATGGAAATAACCTAAAAATATCCCACGGAGGAAATGGTATATGAAGGAAAAATCCTAGTTTAAATTTTAGATTTTTGTCATTAGCCACCTAAAATAATAATTTATAAAATTTTATACAAAATCTTTGAAATGTTTGAATGTTACATAACTATATATTATCAAAAGAATTATGCAATTTTTTTTTTTTTTACAACATCAACAACATCAATATACCTAATATTTTTATAGTAAATTTTTTGTTTAAAAAATTAGATTTTATATTTTAATATAATATGAATATAATTTCCAATATTTATTTGATGAAATCTATTGGGCAATTACATACAAATTTAATCTTAAATGTAAACTTTTATACTTAGATAAATTTCTGAACTTCAGAAATAGTACAAATTAATTTGGTTGTATTGCGTAATTATAAAAAGTCATATCCTTTTGATTAAATTATATTTATGTACTTATATATGCAATATTTAATTTTACATTTCTAATGCTGTTGGCAGCTAACATAAGATGATAATCATGTAACCACACAAGAGGTGTTCCAGAATCTGTATCTATTCTTGATAAATTTTCCAAGGCATCTACTGTTTTTGATGCAAATTCTTTATTGACTGCACAGTATGACTTTAAACACAAACACAAAATAATTTGAATTACTTTCATTTTTTATATTTTGTTTGTTATCTATTATTACTTTCCAAGAATCAGCAGAAAATTGAGCTCTATCAGGCATTGAATGAAATAAGGGCCAAAATGTTCCATTACAGCAACCATTATAATAACTATCAAACGTTTGAGGATCTAAATTAATAGATATAACCTTAAAGTAACATTAAAAATTGTTCAAATAAATTAAAATTAAGCTCTTATGAGATTAAATAACCAACTTTATCAGAAAGTAATCCAGCAGTAGGTGTTTTATCATTAGGATCCGATTCGGGTATATTTTCACCTTCCTCTAAGTGAACACCAGCCCATCCAATCCATATTCCATTTCCTTGAATTACAACAGGTGCTACAGCAGTGACTAAACCACCAGCACTAAAATGTCAGACATAATTCATAATATATTTTCAATATTTTGAAATTAACAATTTTTAATATGTTCAAAATAAAAATAAAAATTATAGCATGCACCAATACTATAAAATCTTTATATTAATGGTTTTAAATGATAACAATCAAAAAATATAGTTTTGTAATTTTAAGTAATAATATCTAGAATATTTATATTTTTTAAAGGAACAAGACATTATTATCTTGTAAGTAGAAAAAAATAGTAATAAAAATTTGAAATTATAGTATATGTATCTAAATTGCCTGAAATCAAAATTGATAGTAATATAGATAATACAGTAAGTACAGTAGACGCCGCTTATAAGATTCACTTTGGGACCAGCACAAAGTATACGTCCGGACTGTAATTAGGTAAATTTATGTTAAAAAAAAAAACTGATGATAAAAGATAATAATAGTGGTGGGTGAATAGAATATTGAGTTGACCATTTTTTTAAAACCAATTTGCTGATAATAGTGTCATAAAAATAGAAAGCTATCTATTTATACTTCTATAAATACATGGTAGTAAATGTAAAACCAAAACATTATTTTCTTCGCTTAAAAACCACCAGTTATTCTTACGATTTAAAGCCTAATAATTAACCATTAATTTATTTATACTATTCTATGATTTGTTGATATTAACTTATAAAACAATAGATAATATATGATATAATAATATAATCATAAGATGTTTTTGGCAAAAACTAGCTTAATCTACTGTATTATCATACATATAATATAGACATTATATTATACTATTTCTATGTGTATTACTAATAAATAAATTGTTAAGCATCTAAAGATAGACTGAAACCATCTACATTAGAATCATTTTTCTTATGTAATAATTTATCATTGAATTAAAGTTTAACATATCCATTACCTTCTTAAAAACAAGGTAGTCTTATAGCCCATTTTATAAAGCACATTAACTATTCCAATTATTTGTATTGTTATATTTTATAAAATAAAATAATAATAAGGTCAATTATATTTATATAACAGCTAAGATACATATATTTAATTTGCATACTTTAACAGCAATATTAATAATTAATATTTGGACTTATTACATTAAAACAAAATCTAAAATCAAAAAAGCTATGAACAGTAATTAAGGAGGATTTAAATAATATTTTAAATACAATGCTTATTGTATCTGATAGATATCAGATTGAAAAACTTATAAAACAAACCAACTATAGGACCAACTATGGCTATACTACTTTATTTGATAAAAGTTTTAAAAACCACATTTTAAAACAAACAGCTAATATTGTATGTATTAGTGTATCATATCTATTGGCTAAAATATTTAGTCAAATCTTTTTAGCTATATATCAATAAAAGATATAATTATAGAATTTATAAAGCCAGATTTTAGATGATTAATACCAACAATTTAATTAAATATTACAATTTATATTTTAAAATTTAAAGTAATTCAAAATTAACTATTTATTCATTTCTGTTGGAAAAAAAAAGATTTTATCATTGCAAAGAAGTGTATTTAATCGAAATACTGGGTAAAAACTAAAGAATAGATTATGTATATTTTAAACAATTATTCTTTATTTGTTCCATAAGGATTTAATTTATTGTCATTGCAAACATACTTTTAATGGATAATTAATTTTGGTAAGGATTTAAAATTTAATCAGTAAAATTTAACCTACATATCTACAAAAAACTATTTTAGTTTTAAACTTTAAAAAAGAAATAAGTTTTTATTATAATTTAAAAACTATTATTATTTATTTACTTTATATAAGTGAACAAATTTATTTAAGCTAGTTAATTAAATTTTTTAATATAAATGACATTGTAATTGGGTTAATATTTAAATTATAAAAATTAGAGCTATAAGTTCAGCATAACTAAATACATATCAAATTCTACATATATTAGGAGGATCTCTTATTATTTTATTTTTGTTATTAATTATTATACAGTAGAATTTTGGTAATCTGGCCATTCGATAATCTGGCTATATTAACCTATATTTACTTGGCAAATAACCATAAAATTACTATCGTAAACAATATTTAAAACTTAGGATAAACTGAGTACAAACTGATAAACTTATTACTATTTTTATTCAGTTAACATAGACGTATTGTACAAGTTCATTGAGTATCGGTTAGATATTGTGTATATTATGTATGTGTTACATTAAAATGTCTCAAAAAAGAAAACAAAAACCTACTACTTTAACTTTAGTCAAGAAACTAAAAATTTTAAATTAAATAGAAGCAGTAACAAATTAATTTAACTTCACCAACAACTTTGGAGTAAGCTATGCTACAATATAATATACAAGAAAAAATAACGTAAAGATAAAAACTTTTTTCAAAAACAACAAAAGTTTGAAGATTATTATGTGCAAAACATTAAAAACTGGCGAGTAGTTGAAGATGCCTTGTATTTATGATTTTTGCAAGAATGTAACTGACATATACCTATTGGCTATTTCTGTCAACATTTTGTAAAAAAAAGCTAATTCAATAAGTAAAAATGTGTTTATATATATTAATCCAGCATTTTCATTAATCTGGCAGTACTCTAGCCTGATATTTGTCAAATTACCAAGATTCTACTGTATATACAAAAATGGTTTATTTAATTTAGATATAAATACACACTTTTTACTATACTGATAAAAAGGCTATTTTTATTTAAGATAACATAATTGACTCAATTTTAAATCCAGCTCAATCCAAGTATCATTATAAATAAAATTAAGTACTGGTTTGATCAAAATAAACTAAAATTAAAACTAAACAAATCAAAATAAATTTATTTCAAAATACATCTGATTCAATTTATAAAATACTCTTTGGTCTATCAACCAATAAAATATATTTTGTAAAAATGTTATTACTATTGAGTATATAAATAAACATAAATACCTTAATATAATGTTAGATAATACATTTTTTAAATTTTAAAATGATGCACAAATTATTTTATATCTTTAATAATATAAAAATATATTTAATAGATATATAAATAAAACAACTCATATAATATATACATTAATATTTCAATTAATAATTGTTAATAGAAAAATGATACCAGGCCATTTATTTTTAAATGATCTTTAAGATAGAAAATTAAAATATGATACTTTATTAGAAATGTGAGAGGAAAAGTTTTATCAATTAATACACTTTTTTATAAAGCTTCACAAAAATAATCCTTAGAAAACTAACAAAAAAACTTAAGCCAACAATAAAAACTGTAATTTTATGTGAGAATTGGACTTTACCTTAAGTTCACATTAAAATTATGGAGTAGGAAATCACTCTTATTATTTGAAGTATATTACTATTGAATATTTAGATGCACTTTAACTTCTCCCCAATAAAAAAAAATTCAGGGTGAGCCCAAGAAATATATCTCAAAAACAAAAAAAAAAAAAATAAATAAACTAAAATAACATGTAATTGCAACGTTCCAAATCCTGATAATAATTATTAACTATAAAGTAATTAAAATATAATTTGTGTGATAATAATACATACAAATTTGGTTAAAATTAACATATTACATATTAATCTTTATATTATATGCTATAGCAATCAAGATAGACAACTAATAAATTATTAATTCATATTTTATAATTTTTATCATTAATAATATCATTTGGACAACAAAATGTTACGAGTGTCATTATGATCACGGTGATAAAAAGACTGGATCTACAAACATGGGTATAAAAAGAAACTGTAAATTTACAGAATCACAGTGCCATCTCTGGATCATTATAGAATATGTGCTTTACTTATAATTTTCTTAAGCATCATAAATTAATTTAGAATAAAATAAAATAAAAATAAAATATTAAGAAATTGGTTTCATTATAAAAATACAATATACAATAAACCTCCCTAAACGGACATTTTTATGGGTACAGTGACATTTTCACTTCTTTCATATAGTAAAACCTCTAAATATCGAACACATTAATGGTAATTTCATTTTGATTTTGACAATTTTTTTCGTTAACACAGAATAATAGTGGAATGCCAATTTAATCAAATCTTACTACTATAAGATATAGATTATTATAAAATTAAAGTTTATCTTATCCATCCATTATCGCATCGATAAAATCATTTTTCTAGACTATGTTCTGTGAAGTTATCCTACTCGTATTTAGTTGTCTTTGTGATTCCATCGTATTTGAACATGTTAGATTAGGTTACTATGCATCGAGGTCTTAAACAAGCTAAAGTACCTAACTGATTTTTTCAATAAATTTTAATTTTTATTTTAAAATTATTTTTGTTTACATTTTTACTTATTTTTTCATACAAAATACATAATATGTACATATCATAATTTTAAATAATATGTACAATTAATATTTGCATTAAAATAATAAATGTTGTATATGTGTAGTTATTAATTTCTCCGAGTTATTTTTAAGAATTTAACACTACCCTCCCCTTTAAATAACAGACAAAATTACGGCGATCAAGAGTGTCAGGTATTCAGGGAGTTTAACTGTACCTATGTGGTGTACACACGGTGGATGACGAAATGATAAATTCTGTTAACACATAATCATACACACCCACATTAGAGTATCTAATAATATTACTGTATAAACTGTAAACACGCACAAAGCACTTATCATATTTATTGATGCTCAACAAGTGTTGACTAGAAGTAACAACAAACGAGATTAAAACGAGCGATACTATTCTTATCCGTTACATTATTTATATTATACACATAAGATACTAAAACTTATTCTCAATCATACCTGGCTTTTCTTTCCCATTTCTGCGTCAGCATATTTTTTTTGAGAACGAACGGGAGCCTGTTGGACACTATGATGAGCTTGCCAGACGCAGGTACAGACATGACGGTGCCGCGTTGGAGGCAGAAACAAAATAGAATAACTGATGATAATTTGAAAACAATGACGATTCTGAAAGACGTACAACAAAAACACAGCGTCCCTGCACTTGATGACTCTGTTGTCTGTCGGCTGTCTTCGTATCCGTTGTTGTTACTTGTTATTACCGTTGTTTGGGTATTGACTACTATCTGATGGTCATTGGGCTATTCGATGAACGCCGTTTTTCCCACTACTCTCTCGCAGTAGTACAAACACTACAAACCGACACCTGTCCCGTCGTCGTCGTTCGGTCGTCGCCGGAGCTGTAGCGTGCTTGACGTCACAAATAACAACCCGATGTCGTATTCATGATAAAGTAAAAAAAATATATCGGTTTGTTTATATCAGCCTTAGTTACTGATTTTCTCAACGAACTAAGGTTTAAGATATGATTAACTAGAATCACCGAACAATACTAGAATCGAATAGGTTTAGCTGACGTCAAGAATGCAAATTAATAATATTTTCGAGGTTCTGATGTATCTGTATCATATTTTATTATTAGGTATTTGATTTTATATTCAACTTAAAAAAAATAAAAATAAGTTACATTTTTTGAATAGGATATTTTGATTAACTCTAAACACCTCAACCTCTATATCCTGAATATTGATTGTGATTTGTGACAATAGGTGTATTATAAGTTAATTTGATGAGTTAATGCATTTTAATTAGGTAGTAGGTATGTAGTATGAAATGTAAAGATTATTTACAAAAATATGAAAAGTTAAAAACATGCTGTTGTATATAATCATATAATAAATCAGTGTTCAAGTAAAGAGTATCATTGATGATAAAATTCTGAATCATCTAAAATATATTTCTAATAATTAAAATGTGTTCCAAAAAATAGAGGTTGTAACTGGAATAGTAATGTTTAAAAAAATTTTAATTCTATATAGATTTAATAATAAGTTAAATATTTTTCATATAGATAAATTAACAAAACAATATAAATATGAATTTAAAAAGAAAGTGAGCGTATAATAGGAACTGTAATGTTGACTAAAAACTTTGTCTTTAAAGAAAAGTGGCAAAATGTTGAAGTTATTTTTCGGTAAATTCAAGCTCTTGTCTGTATTTTCTACAACTCATTTACTCTCTTCAAATGTGGTTTTGATCATCGTTTATCAAAGTAAAAATATATTTGCAATATTTCTATAAATAAAATTATATAATGCATTAATTGTGTATTTATTTTCTTGTTTTTTTTTTCAATTTTAATATGATAATGACATAATGTTATACTTATAAGTTATAACCAATAATAAATTGAATAATTACAGTAGCATAGCTTGAAATTTTGTATGAAGTGTGTTGTTGAACTAAAAAAAATCAACATTAAGAAATTCACTTAGACTCTTTGTAAAATCATGTTTTTAGTAGATAATATAATAATTTATTCTAAAATAAACATGATTAATGGGGATGGTTGTAGCCCGCTAAGTCCCTCCTGGCTACACTTCTGGTTAAATATTTAATAGAAGTAAAAAATACTAATCAAACAATAAGCATTGGATTTAATACAATTATTAATATAATAAGTACAATTTTGGTGATTTAGTTATTTTTGAAAGAGAATAACTATTATTGGAAAATGAAAAACATAGGTACATATCTGATTAATTAATACCTAACAAATGTTATTAAATGTATTAATAATTAAGTTAATATTAAAAATACATAAATGAAAAAAATTGTATTATTTGTACATAAAATAAACAAAATAAATGTATTTCTCAATAGAAATTGTGATTTGGATACAAATGAATTTGTCTTTTGAAACTACTAAGCTCCAAGCCTGGTTAACTATTAATCTGGCACTGTATAAAAGTAAGTAACTACTTAAATATTTCATAGGTAGATATACAATAAATTGGAATGTGTATATATATTTGTTTGAATGATGAGTATTGTTATAGAAACTAACATTTAAGTGCTTTAATACATTTGAACATAACCCAGAGTTTTCTAACTTCTGTTTATAATTAAGAAGAGACATAACATATAAATCATATAAAGTTGGATGTAATAACAATGTTTAGACTTATAGCATAATGACTTTCAGTTAATAAATAAAACTGGTCTAATAGCCAGTATGATATCAATAACTATTATTAATTCTAAATGTTTGTTAAATAAATTAATAATATAATATCCAATTTAATGTTAAGGATATCAAAGCAATAGTGAAAAAATTAATTCTAAATTTAAAAAATTTTATTCAAAACACAGTAAAAATAACATTGAGTAGTACATACTAGACTAATATTTATACAATTTTAAAATTGAAATTGTAATTTATATATACTTTAGAACAGGGGTGTTCAACCTTTTGTGAAGATTGGGCCACATCATATGGGTAAAAGTTGTTATAGATTTTATTTATTGATAAATGACATGGGATCAATGCCGTAAACATATTTCCAATAAAAAAATATTTTATCAAAATCAGCATGATTTCATCCACTGATCACCTATATAATTAATATGTGTCGGTGCTATTATGCTAAGATAAATTACTTTTAAAGTTTATTTGATGTTTAATACTTTGTAGTTTTATATTCTTAGTAAAAAATTTTTTCTCATAATATTAATATATTATTAAAAACAATTAATTAATAGTTTTTAAATTCAAGTAAGGGCCGCATCAATATCTACCATGGGTCGAGGTTGGACACCCCTGTTTTAGAATGTAGCTTAAGATTTGAGTTAATTCTTGTTGTTTACAATTATAATATATTTCAATAATTACTTAGACATTATAAAGAACATTCATATTTTTATGAACAATTCAATACAATACATTAACATTAATAAAATATAAAAGAACTTCAAAGAAATAATAAATAACTCACACTTGAAGTATATAGATAGGTAATAAAATATAAAATTTATTAGTATTAGTTTAATTAATTATGGATATTGTAATATACATTGGTTTTGGAAAGTGTATTTTATAAATACTAGAGTTTAAAATGTCTGATATGTAAAAATTATTTTTCATCTAATTTAAAGGAAAAAAGACATTTGAATTTTTATATAAGTTATTTAATAATTATAATTCATAAAATATATCAGCATACATTAATATTTTATTACCATAGGATATAGACAAAGTATGCTATACACAAAACATTTGCAATGACATTTATAATTTTAACAAGTCAAACATTTTAATAAAATATACAAAATTTTAAGATACAACACATTTGTAGTTATATGTTTTAATTGAACTTTATTACTTAATTAAACTTTAAATTTATGAAATAATTGTCTAATGTTGATGAAACGGTAAAACTACAAATCTTAATTATTTTATGAAAATTAGATTTTGGAATCAAAAGTCTTTATATCATTTTATGTAATAATAATTACTAACATTTATTAGTTATCTAATATGGTATTTATACTTTTAATAATTAAGTATCTGAAATAAATCATGAACTAATAGAAATCAGTATCTCATATCTATACAAGCTGAAATACTCTTTGGTACTATGAGTTACAGTGAAAAAATAATATAAATGAATAATTACAAAAAATATGTGTATATAAAGGAAAGAAAGTGAGAACCTTTCTGCTGTACATAGTGTATCAAATAGGTTACTGTTATGAGTATGTAAAATTTGAATTCAATGATGTAATTTAGATAAATTTTATTAATTTAAATCTTTAAACACTTACAAAAATATATTATGAAAAAGTATGTTTGATATTTTAATTTTTTTTAATTAATGAGGAACCTTGTATTCAGTTTTCAAGCTATTTATCAAAAAATAAAAATTGTATCATGAATAAAAAAAAAAATTACTTTATAAATTCAAAAATTTCAAGTACCTATAAATATATAAAATGAGCCAAATTGTGTTGAAAATAGTTTTATATTTAGTAAATATTATTATTTATATTAGTTGAACATTTCAAGTGGTATACGTACTAATAAATCAATACATCAATAGTTTTCTAAACAATTTAAAAATTGATAATTTTAATGATAAATCATTAATGTTAAGAAATAACCAAAATAGAAAGTGATTTTTTTTTCTATAGCTTTAATAATACTTATAGATAATGGGAAAATTGCAAATATTTCACTCAAAAATGCTATCAAATGAAAATTTTAATTAATTTAGATATTAATAAAAAATCCAGGCATGAAGATGACTATGTACACAAAAGGTAAGTAATACACATCACTACGAAACTACAGAAAAAAAAACTTTATGACTTTTTAACAAATCAATTTTTAGAAAACTTAAAATATAAAGTGTTGTCATTAGATGACTTCTTTTCTCACGCATTTCATGTCAAAAATAAAAAACCTAGCTGTATACATGTTTGTAGTAAATAAATATTATAGATTGTTTATTTTTAAATAAATTTAAAAACACAAAGAAAGTTAGATTTTTTCATTTGAAAAACATATGAAATTTTTGCATAATATTAATGTTCATAATTTTATTTCTTAGGTATTATAAAAAAATGTATAATTTTTTAAATTTTAAATATGTTTTGTTTTTCTTGTACCATAACCAAAATTAAGATACGTAATAATACTGTTTCATAAACACTTTATATAATGTTTAATGTTTAACAAATAGACATGTTATAACTATTAAAATACTATTTCAAGTAAATTGAAGAAATGCAACAAAATTCAATTTTTTGGTTAAAACATACTAATAATATCTAATAATATTAGAAAGGTATGAATTGGATTTTAATATAAACTAAATCTCTGTAATTGTTAATTAAATCAACCAGTCTCAAAAGGCGATGTATTGTAAAAAAAACTATTTAACTTTTAAGGCTCATTTTTAAATAGTTGTGATTTGCTCGAACAACAACATATTTAATAATATAATATTAACAAAGAAACCAATATCTTGTTATTTTAAACTTATGCTATTTAAAAAATAAATAAAAATAACTATAAATAATAAACAGTCTTTAACTTAATACAACATATCACAGATATTAGAAAAAAATGAAGTACACACGTCACAAATTAAGAAGATAAATATAAATAAAATGAATACACACACATACCTATATAATTATTTTTCCTAACTATAAAATTATTCATCATCGTCAATAACAATAACTCCTTCATCTTTAGGATCGTCCTCCCTTAAAAACAAAAAATATTAATTTAGTTTATAATTATTGTTTTTTTTAACAATTAATACAATTATACATACACAAATTCTTCTTTAAGAACCTCAAATTCTTTTGTCATACCATTTCTCAAACTTGGTTTTAAACACAGTAATGATGCCTTATAAATTTCTTTTACTAATTTACAAGAACCATGCATATATTCGAAACGAATGCAATCAGACCATACTTCTATATAATCAATTTAAAATTAGTTTCAATAATAAAGTAGAAAAAAATTGATACTCACTAATGTCTGTTTGGCCAAAAGCATTGCATAAATCATTATACAATTTTCTAATAGTTTTCAATTTAAAAATTCCTGAGTTTTGAGTGAGCTCAAATGAAATCATAGTTGTATACAATTGTTTACATTCTGGCTTTATGTCTTTAAGTTCAATGAACAATTCACGAGTTGAAAGTATTCCATTATGAACTACGCTCCATTCCAAATATTCAGATCTAATTTTAAAATTAATCTCTGGGAATGGAAAATACGAGCCTTCGTGATATAGTTGTTGGAGCTAAATATAAATAAATTACAAAATGTTTATAGAAAGAAAGTAATATTTATGATATAAACTTTACTTAATTATTGAAAATTAATAGGCAAGTATATTGTGAGTATTGGAGATACTTTTATTGGATATCTGCTATATTTGAAGTGTAGCCAATAGAAATGAATAAATAAATTACTAAAAAATATAATATTCTGTTTAGTGTAATTTAATCCACTTATTTGACAAAAATCTATTAGGAGTATTAGTGTGGAATTTTGCCTCTGTATGTATACCATCGATGCTAATTATCATGAAAATAACGATTATTGGCATATACCAGTGACTAATCATAAAGCACTTGTCATTGACAAGGGTTAGATGTCTATTTCAGCAGCATAGTATCATCTATGATGCATGTGAAAGGTGGATCAACTTAAACTAAACATGGTATAAAGTATGAATAACATGAAATGTATCCATTTTTTTTTTTCAATGTCACATTTGTCATAAAAATCTACAAGTATTATTTGAAAAAAGTAGTATTAAGGGAGAACTTAAACAACTTTAGTCTCAATTATTTTTGTAAAAGTTTATCTTGGAGAAATTATCAAAATATTAATATTTATTTTACCAATTTTGGATGAGTGTTTCCCAAGTATAAAATTAAAATTTCCCATAAAGGCATCGATTTATTTGTTAAGGCTCGAACACCGGCTTGGAAAGCGTCAATACCCATGTCAAGACTGTCATATCTCAAATAATATGATATTAAATGAATCCAGAGTTCTACACTATCTTCTACCACTTCAACTGCTTTTCTCAGAATCTTTTGACAGTCTTTACTAGTGTTTTTAGCCTAAATAAAAATAAACAAATTTTTATTTGTATAAAATACTTATATAGTAATACTTTATGAACGTTTACCCAATAAATATAATGTTCAGCTTTACTTAATGCCTTGTTATAGTGTGCTTCTTGAAAGGCTCGTTCCATTGTTTCATTCATAAAATTTCTTATTGTTTCTTTTTTCATGCGATATGATTTCCGAATTTCTATAATATTACCAATATAAAAGTTCCATAGTTTATGTTTATTTTTTAATGGTAAATTTTCTTTCAATCCATCTTCATAAGTTGTAATGCAGTTTCTATATAACAAATAAGCCAGTATTAGAAAAAAGATGTTTTCAAATATTTAGATACTAACCTAATACTATTAGTATAATTTTTATCATAGTATAATTGCTCAGTTTCTTGATGATAGATAAACCCATCAAAATGAATTTTAGCTAGTTTTTGCCACATCAGTTCACTATGCCTGTACTTATTAACCATATCTCTACAAAAACAAAAAAAATAAATTTATAAATATTTTTAAAAATAATTTTAAAAATAAATCAATACCTGACAATATTGCATTGTAGTTCTCCAACTGCACTTAATTTTATTGCTCTGTCCAATAATATAAAATGAAATTCGATATCACCTTCAAACTGTTTAATGAGGTTTTTATATTTTCCCATGGCAATTGAAAGAGAAGCATCTGCAGTCTTTTCTAAATGCTGTACTTCTACCCAGAACTCTTCTACATATAAACTTTTACAATTTTTATGATGTTCTAATCCTTTTGCAAAATATTGTCTAGCTAATTCAACATCATTTCGTTCATCAAATTCATATGTTGCTGCAGTTATGTATACTTCAGGATCACTATGGTATTTCAACATGAGTGTACTCAACATATTACTACATTTAGTAATAAATAATGTCTGAAATTAAGAATTTATATGGGTTAAATAAAATTGAATAGTTAATAATCAAATTTTTTATTATCAAATAAATTTTAATTTGGTAATAAAAAGGAAATAAATTAAAATATATTTCAAAATATCAGGGTAGGGTAGTAATGTAATAAAAATATTGCATTACGTAACTTTATTAATTCTTTCCATGTAACGAAAATATAATGAAAATTTCTGTAGATAAGTAATTTCTATAATGTACTGTGTTATTGTTATAACTTTATTTAAGTATTGCAAAAAAACAAAAATAAAAAATAAAAAATAAATAAATAAATAATAATAAATAACAATACTATACATAGTACTATAAATAGGATATAACGAGTTACTTGAATAACTTATACATAGTACATTTCTATAAATAGGTAGGAAGACTAATATCATTATGTTTTTAATTGTATTAGCACACATATATATTATAGTTAAAACTTATTTTGGACATATTTTTTGTAATTATACTTTATAGTATTTTTGCATTTGTTGCTAGTGGAATGATAATCGTTTAAAGAAATTAGAGAAATACTTAGGGACTATTTTATTTTATTTATAATGCAGAGGTAATGTAGTTAATATTTAAATTGAAAAGTAACTTACTAAACACTGCAAATTATAAATAATCAAAATCTTTCTAATATATTGTTTTCTATTCAGGTTCTGATTCAACAGCTTTCATGCACATAAACTGTCTAGATCCCTAAGCTAACACATGTGTTTTATCATTGATGGCGTCAGTTGTTGACCGTTGTTGTTGGTGCTGTTGGAATCTTAAATTGCAATGGGATTAAACAGCTTTCGTGTACATAGACAGTCTGACCCCCTAAGCTAACACTGTGTGTTCTATCATTGGTGGCAGTAGTTGATCATTGATGTCGGTGCTGTTGAGAATCTTAAATTGCAATGGGAGCTGTCAAGTGGTGACAATGCGTCCAATTCGACAAGTTTTGATAGGCCAAGAGGCTTAAACTTAAACTGAATACAGAATAGTTAGCTCTATAATATGAAAATTAATTATCAACATTTAAATCTTAATAATTATTGTTATAAAAATTAATTAATTATTAAAAATATATTAAAAAAATTGTATATTATTTATTAATTAATTATTTGTTGATAGATGATCATTGATGATCTCCCCCAAGATTTATTATATCTTAAAAGTATTTCATTATTCTTATAATGATATATATTTTATTTTAATAATCATCATTCAATAGATAATTATCAAAACAGAAAATAATGATGTTCCAAAGCTATTAAAAATATAAATATAATCTTGTGTTATACTTCTTTGAGACAATAGTCATAATTAAAGACCAAATTTATATTCTCTTAAAATACCTTAAATATGATGCTGATATTCTCTAAAAAAACCTTCAAATATTCTCATTATATTCTCATAAAAATCTTAAAAGTATGCAAAAATAATCAACAAACATCAATATATGCGCTAATATGCATTTTTACAATTTTTTTTTTTTACATTCTTTTAAACGTGAGGTAGGTATTATACGTACTTGCGTATTAAAATGGAATACTATTGTACATCAGTAAGTGTAGGAATATTGTAAAAATATAACAGTATAGTCTATATAGTATTAAAATGTAAATACAATATTCCTTTGGTATAGTTTAATTAAATGTTGTATTAAACACTATAGTCATAATATGAAAAAATAACAAATAATAATAAATATAAAACATAATAAGTTTTTAAAATTGACTGACTTTTTTAATTTATTCATTTTAACGTTTATATAAAATTACTAATTACAAGAGTTAAAAATAGAAAAGAGTAAAACAAAATTTGGATGTTTGAATATTTGATAAATGAATATGTTGATCTTATCAGTATGAAAACAACTGCCAGAATTGCAGATCAGCCACAATATTTAGTGAACAGTACGGTGATTTATGATTAAGTGCTATCATGAGTTGGATGTTTTTTTTTATCACAATGATTTTCAGGGTAAAATAAATAATAAATAATAATAATAATAAAATATTTATTTTATACAATTTATAAAATATTCTAAAATATGCTAAATGGGTTAAATATTCTCTAACCTATGAAATATTCTCAAATATGTAAAAAAAACTTTTTTCTATGAACTCAGAATTAAACGAATTATCCACATATTTTACTCTCATAAGACTGCATAGACCCAGTAACGATATGTAAAAACATATAAATCCAGTCTTTAGTCATAATATACACAGTTGATTGTTGCTATACTTATTTTTATGGGCTGTCCAACTAGCAGTATATAAATATAATATATTTTAGATATTGCAAAAATTAATATGCAATTAATACAATAATAATAACATATTTATTTACATATAATTTCTATGTTGTACAACAAAGATAACATAGCTTACTTTACATAAATAAAATGAAAATTAAAGAGTTTTTTTAATATTTGCAATTCTTCAATAAACTAAGAGTTTTTAGTGAAGAATTTATAGAGTTAACAACACAGAACAATACTATTTTAGACCAAAAATAAAACAATTTCAATATTATTTGAATGTATGTGTTTTTAATATATTTTAAAATGTTTTACATCATAAGAATAATATATATTAATTTAATTTTAAGAATCTTGTATAAATTTATTATTATGAAAATAGAAATATTTGTACTAAAATGTTTATTAATTTTAGGAATATTTATATTAATAATTTTTTTGTACTTAATATACTAGTATTCATAAGGAATGTTTGACATCGTATTATGTCTGTATCTAAACACTGTAATTATTTTTTTTAAATATAAGACTTCGATGTTATACATTTTTAATTTTTGATGAAGATAATTATTATTTGTATATTTTGATTAAATAAGCAAAAATTTAACTTAGCTATATACAATTATTTTTAAAGAAATGATATAATAGTCACATTCTTATCCCTAAACAATTAGAATTGATTGAATAAGTGATAAACATATATATTGTGGAACAATATATATACATATAATATATACTAGCTGAATTACTCGGCTTCGCTCTTTTGTAATTTTTGTTTTCTCAAAATGACTGTAGTGAGGAATAAAATTAAATTGTGAATAATAGATCACTTGTAGGAGTATTTAGTTCAACCTCGTGAAAAAAAATTGGAAAAATATTTAATAATATCATCACAAAATTGGAACATAAAAAAAAGCCTGTTCTTTTATACATAAACATATATTATATTGTTGTAAAATATAATATATATGTGCATTAAATTTATTTTTTACATCATTAAAGGTGAAGAAAAATTTGTGTATAGTATTTGTTAATGTATTTATAATATGTTGGTCCCATTTAAATTTATTATTCAATATTATATCAAGGTATATAAGTTTATTTACATATTTTAAAGTACTAAAATGTTTACAGAGTAAAATATAACTATTTATTGACTTTAAGTAGTATTTAATAAATCAAATCTATACTTTAAAATTAATTTTAAGAAAAGTGAGTTCGTTGGTTCATCTTGAATAAAAATAACCATATTATCAGCATATCAAATAATGTTTGAATTTATGTATAACAGGGGTGGGCAACTGGCGGCCCGCAAACCTTCTTTATCTTGCTCGCGTTACATTTTTAAATTACATCATACAATTTTAAAGTCGATTGTCTATAATAGTATAGTATAGAAATCGTCTTACAGATGAAACATTAAGCCACCTACTTCGTGTTTCCTCTTCCGAAATAGAAGTTAATTTTGTTGCGTTATCATTAGCAGTCACATATCCTCAAAACTCACATTAAACAAGTACTAATAGTATTATTTATATTTAATTTAATTAATTTTTATAACATTTTTTGTATTAGTATTATTTATATTTAATTATTTTCAATAACCTTTTTACTGTTAATATTTACATTATAAACAAAATAAATTTCTGCTCTCTATACTCTGGCCTGCTAAATTTTAATTTTCTAAAAATTGGCCCTCTAATAACTTACAGTTGCCCATCCCTGATGTATAAGATCAATAAAGCATTTATATATATAATAAAAATAATAGTTCTTAGTACCATTTATTATGACATACTAGATTGTATTTTTAATTGTATAAATAAGGGACTATTAACCCTAAATATTTGTGTTATTTTATCGCTTGACTAATGTAATTTTATTTTATTTTTAAATATTTTATAATTTATACAATCAAAAGTAGCATTTTTGATAACTAATATTTTTAAACCGTTTTTTGCTACTGCCTAGGTTTGCATCAATAAATGTATAGCTTAAGAACAATGTGTCATTAGTAGATATTAATAATTAAATTCATTTTATATTAGTCATCAATAGGGCTCAGAAAAAAACAAAAAGAAGCATGGTATTTATTAAAAATAAAAAACATGACCAAAAGTCATTAACTACCTAGTTATAAAACTGAATAAAAAAAATTGAAAAATTAATTTAAACTAAAAAAAAAAAAGTTAACTACCATGCATTTTACTAGATTTGCAGTAGTGAAATTGATTCTATTGTCCGATGAATGTTTTCATACATAGAAAATGAATGCTCTATATTCACTAAAGTGATTAGTGCATAAAAAAGCTTTCATTTAAATCTAACCAATAATTTTGTTAGATGAGACGCTTAAAATATTTAATAATGAGGCCTATAATAAAAACAATAATAATTCAATTTAACTATTTAGTCCATACTTTGGGTTTTTATATTTTTTATCAACAACTTTTTTTTTTTTACCATAATTAACATACAAACATTTTACAGATAGAATAATTGAAAAAAGCAAAAATAAATTGGTTTAATTAGAATCAAAATAAAATGAAACTAATTTATGTATAAAAATTAGATTTCTATTTCATGTATAAAAAAAAAAAAAGCGTATGTTTTAAAATCCAAGCCCCAGTAATCAATCATCATTTATCATAACATACAATTATTTTTTAAAGTAGGCTCAGATTTTCAACAATTTTTAAAGCAAAACAGAAAAATCACACTAAAATTTAAAATCATTTAGGTTGTAATTTATTTACTTACATTATTTGAGCAAAACTCAATATATTCTAATAATGAGTTTTTTTCAACAGGAAACAGTAAAAACATATTGTTGTACATATCATTGATACGATTTGATAAAATAGTAAGTATTTCTGTGTTAATATACTCAGAGTCATTTTCTTTCATTTCTTGCTATGAAAGAAAAATAATAATAAAATTGAGAACTTATATTGAAATCATTATGTATCATATAATCTTACATCAATTTTAAGTTGACATGTATCTAGTATATTTAATTCAATTTTTATTTGTTTCAACAATTCTTCTATAGTAGAAAATCCAAGCAAAATTTTTTGGCTAAGTAATTTACGATCATTGTTTAGCTTTCTAAAATGTAAAAATAAAGTATAACAAATCGTAGATACTAAAAAAAAGAGAAATGGCTTAAGAAATGTATGCTTACATTAGTTCGTCCCATTTCAATATGCTATAAGTTTTCATGAAATGGATTTCAGATTCCACTTCGTCTGCTGACATGACGAGAAATAATTCTTTTATTGACTGCAACGAGGAAAAATAATTTGAATAGGCATACATAGTTAAAAAATAAATTCAAATTGTAAATGAAGTATTTACTTCACTATTGTTTAGATGATGACTAGGCGTCACAGTTTTTTTCAAAATACGTCAACAGTCAACACTACTAAACAAGAACGTGTTTGTACAAGTAGGTTTAAATATTTTGTTTCACAGTGACAATACGCCGATTTTAAAGCAGTTATTATGTTAGTATTCAATATTAAATTAATGAGTCAATTGGCTGTCCAAGAGAGCAGTCAATGACTGATAGGTACCTATGAAAAAACGATAGCAACCAACGATAAAACAATTCTATTCTTCTGATTAATGCGTTAGGATTCGGTACTGTCGTCAGTGCTCGATGTGACTACGGTATTCTATGTTATGTTAGATGTTTAAAATTGTTTGAATTTCGATCTACAGTAACAAGTAGTATGTTTTGATAAACAATAAAATATTGATTAAATCTAAAATCACAGTTCAAGATTTTATTTACACAGTGGATTAAATATGATATCTTATCAATACTTAACTGGGGTAGCTACAACGGCTACAATAATCAACTACTTCGACTGGTTAATATACCGAATATATTACTATGAAGAATGAATTTGAAATATTATGAATACAACCATTTCAATTTTCTATTACCACGTAAATAATTTAAAATTCGTAATACTTATTATCAATTATTGTAAACTGTGAACTGTTACGTTATGGCAATATGCATAATTCCGAAATTAATAATTGTTTATTAGTATTTATAATCGTAGGCGTGCAACGTGCTTACTGCTTATAGATACAGCGAATGTTGTTTTCGCTGTACTTGACAATTTATTTTGTATTTAGTGGGCTGGTATATTTATTTTAAAAGTATACACGCAATAAATAATTTTAAAAATATTGAATTTTAAATTAAATTATATAGTTAACTTGAGTATAGTCTGAAAGCTGATGCGGTATTATTTTGTTCTCAATTAGAATAAACTTTTTTTGATCGATTTTCACAGACGCGCGTAGCTTTAGTCTGGATAAAAAATTATAAAATTATTTTTATTGAAACATAATTGTTTATGCTGGAATTATAAGCAACACATCTTATATCATATGAAGTTAATAGGTAAGTAAAATATTCACATTATAATACAGCAGACGTTGAATAGACATTTTTTTTATTATATAACATTATTACTCGTGGAGCTAGTAGAACAGTTAGTCATTGATTTATACTTCACTTATTAGCACTATTAAACATTATTACAATATTATATATACCTATCCGATTTATTACTATATACTTTTAGCTTCTGTATATCTGTGTACTTCAATAGTTAACTTTTACAAGTATTGAATGTATAAAATTAATTTAATTTATATATTATGTATTAGAGGACAATTATTAATTTTCTGAAAGTTCACGCTGCTGTGTAGTAGGTTTGGAGTGATTCACTTGTGTATGTATTAAATTTAAATATAAATACAATGATATTATTTTATTTCGATTTTAAAATAAAAAATTTCAATTTATCGACTTTTATCATGTTGAATGTCGATACCAACACATATATTATAATAATTAATAATTACTGTTTACGATAAACTTACCTTGCTCCATACCACTTCGTAAATTGGACCTATTTACTGATCATGCTGGATTTTTCAGAGTGGGCGGTCGTCTTTAGAATGTCGATTTTCCATATGAGCACAAACATCCGCTCCTCTTACCGTTGCACCATTGATTGACCATTGACCACCATCATCGCAAATTGATACATTCCCGTTCGTTTACTCTCCAAACTCATTAACAATGAACATTTTGGATTCAGTTAGTCTGGTAGGTAATCCGTAAACGTTTGTGCCGTTGTCTTGCATATTTCCGTACGAGGCCACAATCTATTCAACCTAAAATGGCTGCATTTCCAAAGAATCGCGTCCAACAAATTAAACACTTTGCCATCACTGGTGGATATTATATTGGACGAATCACTTAAAAAAGTCATATAGGACGAAAATCAAGTTCAAAGTTGGCCTATATCTGTTTGTTTGTCTGCACTAATATGAAAGCGGTTCACTTAGAATTGAGCTCTGATCTATCAACAGAAACATTCTTATTGGCTTTAACACGTTTCACATCCCGTCGTGGTCCGGTTAATAAGATATACAGTGATAACGGTAAGTACTAACTTGTTGAGCAGTGCGCCTGTTAAACCCAATACAAACATTGACTAACTCACAGTTATTTCAAACTCGTTTACGTGCCTATCTGGTCACATCCAGCATACAATGGTATTTCAACTCTCCATCATTTCTTCATTTTGGGTAACGATTGGAAGCTGGGGTAAAATCCAGTCATTTATCCTCCGCTCTATTAGATTCCACATGTTTACGGTTGAAGAGTTTAAGACGCTTTAAACAATGACATATCAAATTTTGACGCTCTTACACCAAACCGCCTTTTGACGCTAAAACCATCTACATTTCTTCCAGAATCTAACTTAGACAACGTAATTCTATCAAAACTGACTCGTTGACATCTCATAACAGATATTCACTGTCACTTCTGGTCTCGATGAAAGAATGAATATCTTACCACATTTCAAGTTCGATCAAAATAGTGCTCTTATGAGAAATGTTCAAGTAACTTCGTTCTCATTCAAGAAACCTCGTATCCACTACGGTGGACGATAGAAAAAATTCGTCAACTTCATCCAGGTTTAGACGGAATAGCCCAGGTTGCAACAGTGGATACTGCCACCGGATCTTTTATTCGCACAGCTGTTAAACTTTGATTCTTTCCATAATAGCAATTTTTTGACTGCCTCAATGGTTTCGGCGGTAGATGTGCTTATTGGTTGATCACTTCTTGTATAGTCTTCAATACTTTCTCGACTCGAATTAAATTTTGTATGTCAAACCGATGCACTTTTTCGAGATAAAATGTGCGGGTCATAAACTTAATTTATTAATTATTGTTTATTTTCATAAACAATAAACGTATATAGAGATAACGACATTACAGACGAATCGTTTTATTGTATGATATAAAATTAAATATTGCTCTATAATTTTTTCGTAGGTACTATTCACTTCAGCAGTTAAGCTGGCAATCGTAGTAATCGAACATTTTTTGCATTTCACATTTTTGTGTAGCTGAGATAGGTATTAATAAATTATGCAATGCCCTCTCTATATTACGCTACTTGGTAGTTAGGCAAAACCCAATATCAAAAAATTTTAACTGACCGTTTTCGTCGACATTACCTACCATGTTAATACCTATCTACTCCGTTTATTATGTCCCGAGCGTACACTATTTTGACTTACAACTAGTTCGATTTATTATTACTCCGTACAATCGTAATTCGTAACGTTTATATAAAACACAATAGTACAAGCATAATATTATAGGTATGTTAAACAACAATTTATATTCATGTCCATATTATCCTGTTGCTTATGATTAAAAAATTATATTAATTTTACAATTATTCAATCATCTAAAAACCTTGGGTGTGTACTATAGAGTATAGAGTACATTGATCTATGGTACCTATATAAACCTATGTATAATATTGGATTTTCTGTTTTCGTTTTTTGTACATTGTGTAGTAATTTTATAATTTAATTCTAAATATATCGAATAAGTAAAGTTAGATGCTTAGCGTTATAGATATTAATATGATATCATCAAGTCCGTACTATAAAATCATCCACGATTTGTACATCACTGATTTGAAACTAAAATGTTATTACTAACTAAAAAAATACGTATTTATTATTCTATAATTAAGTCAATAACATGTTATTTACAATATTTTAATTTATAATATTTTATATTACCCATTGTCTTTTAATAATAATGTGTTCATAATTATATAACACAAAATAAATTCATTAAATTATTGTTCATTTTTACAAGATGTTGATTCAAACCCATGTTTTTAAAAACATCTATACTGCTTAGGATAAAATTAAAGTGTCAATAGGTATTTTAAAACTAAAATTGGATTTTTAATTTGCTCTTTCTTATTAATATTTAGATAAATTCCCTAATATGATAATTGAGTATATGCAGTAATTAATGGTAATATTAAAATGAACAAATAATGTGAAAAGTAGCATTCTTTGTTGATTATATTACATTTTATATTATATCAGGTATAACATATAACTAAATTAAGAATAATGTGGCTGGAAAATATATGAATTGTAATTTATATGAATGCATGATTATGCAGAATCGATATTAGTGGCCAGATATAACACACAAATAGATGAAACAATTTAATGTTTTATGTATAAATATAGTGTAGGTAGGTACTTGAAAATATTTTGAAAAGTGTAGTTGTGCACTTTTTACACTAACATTAAAAGAAAAATGTCAGTTGGAACAGCACAATACTAATAAAGAAATGTCTGTGTTAACAAATATAGTTCTTCGATATGTAAATATTAGTATCTAATTAGTAAATACAATGACGAAACAAATCATTTAACTCAAACAATAACTAACACAATATGTCAGATTAATAACTCAAAATTACTTATTAAGCATACTGCCAAAAAAAGTACCAAAATAATTGCAGAAAATTTAAAAATATTTTAGTACATTATTTAATTTGTTTAGAATTTCATTAAGATTAATTTAAATACTTATTGGTTTAAAAAAAAAATAAAAATTTTTTGTAAAGATAAAAAATATGCAATAATAACAATTAATATAATTTCCTCTGTAAAGTTAATTCGAAATTGGTCTGAAGTTGAAACCAGGGAAAAAGATAATAACAAGTTATACATTTAGTGCTTTAAAAATAATTATAGCTTTAACTATCTTTATTGAATAATTATTATCATTTATCTCTAAGCATTTTATTGTTATTTTTAGTGACTATTTTGTATTACTATTGCATGCAAAAAAGTTTATGCTAAATTATAATAAACTTGTAATTATATCTCCTTAATCATTACTTGGGTCTGGAACTTAAAACAATTATAATAGTAAAAAAAAGCGCTTCAATGCTGCATTATAAGAATTTCAAGATACTAAAATAATAAAAAAAAAAGCTCAAAAAACAACAATACACAATTTTTTCTGTGATACCATTTAATTTTTAACACATTTCTTTATTGCATTGAGTAAACAATTTTTTTTTAAGTTAAACAAAAAAATTATTTTTAGCACTAATTTTACTGTAAATACACAAAACTAAAAATTCTAGATTTTTGTTGATATGGTCATGTCATAATTAAGCAGAGGTATCAGAAAAACTATAAAAAAACAATTTGTCTGAAAATCATTGAAATGTTAAAAAAAGCACTTTCAAATTTCATATTTTGAATAATTGTAACATGACATGAGTTTTCCTAGTATTCTGCTAGATTTTGTATCAAGGCAAAAAATTAAGTAAATACTTGAAGTCTCAAACCCTGGTCATTACCAATATAATTTTAATTTATGTATCATTTCATTGGAGAAGAAAACTACTACCCTTAATTTTTTTTTTTTTACTTTGTAAAACAATTTATCAATATTTACTCTGTTTGTCTCTCTAATAGTCTAATGGATAATGATATTAAAAACCATTAAAAATAAGTATAATATTATGAAGTTTTAATACTTAAATAAAAAATAAAAGACATTTTTTCAGAAAAAAAATTAATTCATTATGTGTTACTAAAGTCTTTAAATACCTATATAAATCATAACAATACTGTAATATAATTCTTCGATGTATTTTAACAAAAATTATGAAACTAATAAATAATAAAGACGTTTTACAAGTTACAAGAGATGTATTTAGAAAATATTAATGTAACTGTTTTATAAATCTTTTTAAATAAGAATCATATTACTAACATTTTTTTTTTTATATTGGCATTAAAAATAGATTATTATTCTAAGAAGTAAAAGAAAGATTCTAACACTAGAAAAAAAAAAAATAAAAAAATATAATATATAACTTGATGCTAATTATTTCACAAATTATACATTAAATCAATTAATTATATAAAATAGAGTTAAGCATTAAGAAATACATACAATAGATTTTAAACAAGTTTCTATAACTTAGTTGTACACAAATTAATATTTAGTTTAGGTTAATATAATTTATCTTTGATTAAATATCATATTTAAATTCAGTTAAATACACACAACAAAAAGAAAAATGGTATTTATTAAAAACATGTAATACCAACCACAAATGTACACATTATATTATGTATACAATACTTACAGATAAAACATTTATACATTTTTACTAAAAATATAAATATTTTTATATAACAAACCTAATAAATATGAAGTTAGAAAAGTAAGTACAGTAGTCACTCGATAATTCGAAATTCAGGGGACCAAGTTAAAAATTCGATTTATAGAGGTTTTCGATTTACCGAGTGTTTGGATAATTGAGGGAAAATAATTAATTCGAATTAAAGAGAGGTGAAAAATTATTGTATGTATGTACATATTACATTTATTTTGACATCTATTTATTATACAAAATATACATACATACATATTATTATATTTTATAATTATTAATTGATATTTATTTATTTTATTATTATATTTTACATATTAAAGAAATCTGTTTTTTTTTTTTTGTGTGTGTGATAATGTGGCCAGTAGCCACAATTTGGTTCACAGCGTTGTCTAACTTATTGATAGCATTAAAAATTGTATCGCATCTTTTTTCGTTAATTTCAGATTACTCAAAAAATTGACGTAATCCTGACAAAAGTTTAGATTAGGTAGGTAAGGTACGATAACGTTTATCAACTACGATAATATTAAACCACCAATGTTATAACTTATAAGTTCCATTACGATTATGTCAAATAGATTGTACGTTATCTTCATATGTATGTACATTGTACATGCATATGAACTTACATATAATTGCGTTTAAGGAAATTCGAATTATAGAGGTTTATGGAATAAAAATTAAAATTGTAGAGTGTGTCCCACAGTCAGACATTTCGAATTATTGAGGGAACTGGAATACATGCATTCTCTTCTAATTATAGAGGTTTTCTCAGGGGACTTAGCGTTTAGTTCGATTTATGGAGTTTTTCGAATTATCGAGGTTCGAATTAACGAGTGACGACTGTACATTGTGTACATAGCACAATGAGAAATAAACATTCACGAAATTATCATAATACTTCTTTTTAAACCATAAATAATCAGTAATAAAGTTATCAAATTGTCAATCATTTATTAAAACAAATTGTCTTCAAAAGATGTAATTTAATATCCAGGGCTTCTTTTTTTTTTTGCAATAATTTTTTTTCCATCAACAATTTTTTTTCAAAACGTCTTAACAATTCACACTCTTTACTAGCAGCCAAAAGTATGCTAACCTTTGTTGGTACGCGTCTATTAGAGGTCAAATAAATGCAACTTTTTCCCAGATTATCAAAACGTTTAGCTACTAGGTTTCGAAATCTTCGTTCATTGGTATTGCGTTTTAACCTTGTTTCAGAATCTTCTAACTTCTTAATTTTCTTTTTTTTAAATCGAGGTTTTGTTGCAGCTTTTTTTACGGTCTGACATATCTTGCTGGTAGTTGGATAATCGATATCACTGTCACACTCAGAAATATAAATAGAATCTAAAAAAAAATATTCAGTTAGTAAAAAATAATTATATGATTTATATTATCAGAGGAATAAACACTGAAGAAAAGTTGTACTGAAGGCGTCATATACCCTTCATTTCAGTTTGTTGATTACTAATAAATTATTGTTAGAATAAAAATTCATGTTTTTATATTAATTTCTGTGATTTTTAATTTTTCAAATAGGTTAAGTTGATTGAAAAAAAAACAATTTTCATAACTAATAGATTTAAGATTCTATTTCAAAAATCATCTCAAATATTTTCAAACTTCAGTTTTGAAGTGCAACAAAAAAAAAAAAAAAAAAAAAAAAATGATTACCAGACAAAAAATTAGTAAACGTTTTAAAGAAAAGCTTTGGTTTTTTTTCACAGTTTAATAACAAAATAAATAAGAGAGCACACATTTTGTGAGAGACTACTCAGTAGACCTCCACGTGATTTATCCCAGTTATCTGGTTATGTTCAAGAAACTCAACTAAAACAACCAAAAAATATTTTACACAATCAAAAAGTATCATAGGACTCCATTTAAAATTTGGGATTTAAATTATTATTACCAATTAACGCTATAATGTTACTAATAATAATATACATCATATTATAAAAATTTCTCTTACACACTATTAATAATATGTTACTATAACTAATTTACAATTACGGGTAAATGCAAGAATATCTTCTTTTTTTTTTTAAACATGATCTGCAATACTTAAAAATTAATTTCTCTTTTTTTCAAAAAAACAGCATGTTACAAGAAATTATTGATAAACTGAAACATTGATATTTACCTTCTTCTTTATTGTTGTTATTCTGTGACTGTTCATGTTTAGAATATTTAACTGCATCTATAGATTTTAAGTTACTGCCGTCATTCTCTTCGTGTTGACATATGTCATTCCAATCATCATTATTTCCAACAGAAATATCATCTTCACTTCCAACAGAAATATTATCATCATTTTCATCAGAATTATTATCTAACTCTTCTAGTAATATTTCTTTGAGTTTTTTGAAGACAGGTGGATGTTTGTGATCTTTTATCTTAGTCTTTGGTACTTTTACGGTTTTGTGATTTTGTATGTCAGCATTTGTCAAAACTTCAAGATTATTGTTTTTAACAGCTTCTTTAGGTTTTGGTTGTTTTACTTGTAAAGTTGATCTAGCTTGATGGTTAGTAATTTTATTAATTAGTTCGAGGTTAGGCTTAAGTAACTTAGCACTAGATTCTTTAGCATTGTCTTTCGTATCATTTAAAATTATGTTTTTGATTTTAGATTTTAAAACATTATCATTAGTATTCTGTAAACAATTAAAAAGTTTTTGTCGATGTTGTTTAATATTTAGTTTAATTTGTGTCTTGCTGTCACTGTTAAGATAAACCATTTTAAACTGATACTGAAAAAATAAAAATACAATTGTAAAATGAATAAATAAAAGAAAACGCAGACTTAACACTCTTTTAGTTCCTTTTAATTGGAATGATAAACAATTAAAACTTATCGACAACACAATTGACACACAAGGCAACGACACATTAGGCGTCCCCGTACAACGTACAACTAACTATTGTGCTTCCAAATACTCAGTATATCGCTACATTCCTCAGTGTCGCCAACCTCATGTGTCACATAGAATATTAAGATAACATAATTATTTACCACTTAAACAAATTCTAATATGTAGGTTTAATATTTTATTATACATATATTATAAATTATGAGTATTGAAATAAGTAAAATATTAAATGTTATAGGAGATCAATTAGTATAAATTAGTAGTTGAAAATAAAATCCTCATACTAAGAAAAAAATCCTAATATAAAAACCAAGAATATATTGCAAAGAGCACACATTAAGTTTAATTGAATATAAATAACTAGCTGTATTTACACGGTGTCAAAATAATTGCAAGTCAAATATATCCTTTAAATTTTCATTTTTGTTGTTAAACATAATAATTTGTAATGAATAAAAAATAATTGTATTGTTTAATGCCAATAGAAAAATTGATACTTGTTGCTAATTTTTATATTTTAATAGATTTAATACAAGGAGTAAAATATATATTATATAAATATATATAATATAAATATATATATAATATATATTTGTAAACAACGTTGTTAACTTTTTCCGGATTGCGGACAAAAATGTGTAGATTTAATTTGGATGTCACGCAAGAAAGGGCAATGTGAAAAACACGGAACGCTTAGGTCAATATTCCAGCAACATGCTTAAAGAAATAAATATTAATAAATAATAAGTAAAAAGCGGGAAAAAAAATGTAAAATAAGGGCATCTGATAAGTGTGGTTCGAACTCAAGACTTTCTTTACTATAATATATGAAAATGCCACTGCATTACAAGGATTTCAATACGCGCAGGTAATTTAAATGTTTTTAAATAACAATAATATACCGTACGTCTGAGGAATAGATCTGATTACATCATAGAAATATTATTCTTCATGTTATACGAATAAATTAAACACATAACCTTTCCTTGGTTAATTGCCTATCTAATAATGAAAACCGCATCATAATCCATTCAGCCGTTTCGGAGTTTATCACGAATAAAAAAAAGCGACTTCATTTTACACTATGTAATCAGTATGTATATATGTATATAATAATAATAATAATAATAATATTATGTCTAAGAAATTGTACATAAATTAAAGTAATAATACGATAGTCTTGTTAAATTTTATTCAATAATATGCGTACCTAATTTTGGAACTATATTTTAGTTATGGTCAAGAAATTTTAAAATTCCGACAGTTAAACAATTACTGTTTTTTTTCGTTATGTGCCATTAAAAATACATAGGTTATTTTTTAAAGGGATTATTGAATTGAATTAGCATTTTAGGTACGATTTTATCAATTAATAATCATTAAGCAAAATTAAATTAGGTATATTGATTTACTTTAAAGTTTATATTAGGGATTTTATTGTTAGTAATTAATTAATTTCATAACGATTCACAAAATTATAAATTATAAATGCATTGTAAATATTAAATATACATAATATTATAAAATTAATAGTTTTTTTTTCGATAAAATATGACGAATAATAAAAATTATAATACAAACACGTAAAGATTGATCTTTTGTCAAACAAATTATTGTAAAACATTCAAAAACTCACTTTAAAATTTTGTTGATGAGACAATGATCGCACGTGTAATGTTCAACGAGGAAAATCGTGTTTTGATTGTTGTACTGCTTTTGTTCAAAGTTAAAAAGAATATTAATAAAATGTCTTGTCACCCGAGCTCTTGATTATGAAAGAAAACCTACACCAAAATTGTGTATTAAATCGTTGATCGCAGTACCTTAGAAACACATGAAATGGTAAAACGTAACGTGGTCAATAGATTATAGAAGTATAGCGTGGTTTCTGTCACGAACTGCCACGAGTGCATATTACCATCTCCGCATGAAATAAAACCTATGAATGAATCCGGCCCTATAATTGGATTAAATCTGGTGGGAAATTTTAAATTATTACAATTATTACAGATACATTATTAACTTAATATGGTATAATAATAAGATAAAACATAGTTTAATATTTAATGATATTGAATCATATAAATAAAATTAAGTACCATTATTTATTCAACTGGGTATTTAATTTCAGGTAAAGAATTGAATGGTTATTACTTATTATGATTACCTACTAATTGAACCATTATATTATAGTGTACATAATTAATAAGAAAATTAAATACCAACTAAAAAGAGGATTATGGAAATATGTAAGAATATCTCGTTTCAAAATTAAATAATACCTATTATATTTAATAATAATTTAATATATTTAGATGTACATTGTACAATATAATTAATGAGTTTTTTCATTAGTTGAACAATGTTTTAAGTTTTTAAGTAGGTTCCTGGCATTTTTTATTTTATTTTGATGTACCATAATCACTTAAAGTTGGTCTACATATAACATAATTAAATCAGATTTTTAAAAATATAATATAATTTTTGTTTTGTTTATAGTATCATTAGTTTTTAACTTAGTATACCTATTCAAAAATATTATAATATTGTAGGTTAATAAAATATAAATTAATATAGAAATTTAATATAGAAATCATGTTAATGCTGTATATCATTATACTTAAACTTGAACTCCTGTCACTAGCAATAAACTTAAGAGTATTAAATTAATATGTATTATATTTTGTTCTTATATAATAAATTATTATTATTGTTATGTATTAATATTTGTACCTACCTAATATTGTGTAATTAAATAGGTAGTTTCTTTGGAAAACATGGTCCTTGTTGTATTTTATTATTTATATGATGATCTTATATCACAGAATTGAACTTGATTGAAAGTTGATGATGAATGAATTATGAATTATTAAAGTAATATGGATTATTTTTTCAAATTTTCGACAAGATCGATTTTAATTTTTTTTTTTTTTTGTAGTTCGAAAACGACGAACCAATAAATTCTTAAAATTTTCCTCTAGTATATTGTATAGTGTATTTTTTAGACATAATATAATTTTAAAAATATTATATATATTTTTGAATTATAAATACCAATGCTGTAATTGATTATTATTTTTGATGAGCGATGATCACATTTAAAAACTAATAAAAATACTGAAGAAATTTTGTTTATAATTTATATATATTGTTAATAAAGTCAAACTATAATCTATAGATTTCAGAATCTAATAAATAGGTATAAGTACTAAAATATTTAATTTCAAACAGTCGGAAATGTAAACAATAATATATAAAAATCAAAATAAACATAATACAATAAAAACGATAATATACGAGTAGCTACTTAGTATTAATAGTCACAAAAAAACAACGAATAAAGAATAAAAAAAAAAAAATCAATACCTGAATATAACATATATTTTTTTCTAAATTATATCAAACAACAATAACAATAATAGTAAAAGTAAAACGAGTAAAATAATTTTCGTAATCGGTGGTTCTCCCACCCCCACCAATCAATTTCTAAATCTAAAACATAATTATATCATATTTAATATATGTTATTAATATCGCTATAGGAATATTTTCTTTCACAAAGTACACCAAACCTACTCATAGTTTGATTTTCAGTTTCGGTGTTGCAGACTTTCATTCACATTCACCTCTTCTATCATTCAATCTTTTGATACGGACAAAAGTAAGAGTGGCGAGTTAGGAGGTAAGTAATGGAGCACTTAAAACGATGTTTTTTGGCAGTTGAAATTGGGTATTTTTAAATCTGAGTGAAGAGTATTACTGGAAACTATCGAAGGGTTTTTGAGGCGATTTGAAGGAATTTGGACTGTAACTTCTGGATATATTTGGTATTGAAAATATTGACAAAAATAAAATATACAAACATTTATTTTTTTTCATTGCAAAAATAATTGTACTTGTTGGTTTTGACAGTTTTGTTATTGTTTGATAGATGATAACTTTACTCAGATTACGTTTAATTTTGATGTTTTAATGAATTTTAAATAATGCCAGAAAAATAAATAAAAATCGGAGTGCAATTCTAACTACATAGTCTTCATCTTTAAAAATAAAAAAAAAATTATCAAAACCTTATTATTAACGTTTATTATTATAAAATGTGAATTTTGAGTTAAATTCTTAAAATGTTTATTAATTATATTACATATTACTAAAATTAATTGTGATCCAAAAGTAAAGGTCAATTTTTATCATTATAAATGTTTAAAACCGTTAAAATGTTGTTATTTTGTTACAATAAATGTGTCAATAAAATAACAAAATCTGTAAAATTAGTACCACATCTATATTATTCTTTGACCTTTTATGTGATGAAAATGACTCCCTTGACTAAAACGTATTGTTTGTTGGTAATTTAAAGTTTTTTTAATAATTTTTTTGAACAGTTTAATAATTAATAGGATTTTGATTTTGTAGTAAAATAAATCGTTTAAAATTGTATTTATTTAACCTAAGCTTGAAAATAAATAAAAAATAAAATAAAATAATATTTTAAATGGTCACTTTGAAATGAAATAATTTAACTAGAAATTATAATATAGTACTTAATAGGTAATCTATAATAGATATAATATAAATTACATCTTTGTGATAATTATTCAAAAATCATTAATTGAATACATTCGAGAGAAAAAGCCACAAATAAGTAACTTTAAGTTTATTTTATTATAATATTAATATGACGAAAAACGAATTTATAAGCGAAGATTACCTTTACATTACTCTTTACTTAAAATAATTTGCCACAAAATGTCTTAAAAACTTGATTATATCAAAATATTATTGACACGGTTTCTTGTGACGTTTTTGAAATCGAATACCATTAGCTGTAATTAAGTGCTCATTACAAATCGTAATTTATAGATAGGTATTTAATAAAAATTGTCATATTATATATATTGTTTATTGGGAACTGAATTTAAGTAAAATAAGTAAATATATAACAATACATTTTGAAACACAAAAAGCACAAAAAATGCAAATAATTATTAATTAATACTTGACGTCATTGCGATAATGAGAACGGATTAATGGCGTAGGCGACGGTGGAGAGGGTCCAGCCGCTTCAAAGAGGAATGTGTTGATTATAGTCTTTTTTTTTTCGATGAAATCACCTAATCAGAAATATAATAATATAAAAATAACAATTAACTACATGCTGCGAATACGGCAGGCGTTTAGGGATTATTTATTAATTTGCCTATTTGTAAAAATATAATATTAAATTGCACGACGCAAAATAACTAAAACGAACGTTCCGTCGAGACTGACAACAAAAACAACATCAATAATAATAATAATAATAATATGTTTTAGGTAAATGTAATATTAGGGTTTTCTCATTGGTTGTCGTTAAATCGACTATCAGGCGTGAGATCGTTGTTGTGGTCCGTTGTAGTTGTGGTGTTGCGATCGTTCAACGTGGACCATGCGCAATGGATTTGAAAATGCAGTCTCGTCTCTAGTGAATAACCGGAGTAATTTTTTCTGAAAAAAAAAGTCAATTAAGACAGGGAATCATGGTAGAAAATATACGGATAAAAAAATTTAGTTTGGTAATAAATAGAAATTTCTTATAGTGGATCTCAATATGGGATCAAATATTTTGTGATATAATGTATATTATTATATTATCTATCATAACATCTATAATTTGCCATTTGTACGATATAGGCTCGGTTTGTAGTCATTTATCATCAAACGTCGATATTATTTAATATCTAACATCGATCGATATTTATATTTTCTTATTAATAACTTTTAGTTCGCGGCAACCGTACCGTATACTAAATACATGTAGTTGCCACGCCTCCTTCTTAGTCCTATTAATTTCGAAATACATACTACCAAATAATTTACTTTATGTATCTCACAATTTTTTCTTATTAACTTAAAAATACTACCGAATAATTAAAAATTGATTTTCATATTTTAAATTTATTTTTATATTTCTTAGCAAATTTTGTTTTACAGCAAAAAGTGTTTTTAGACACAACAAATAAAAATAAAAAACATACACTAATTTAAAATCAATACATTCATCGCTTTTTTGAGAATCTCAAATATGAAATTAAAATTGCTATATTTATCCAATCAATAAAATAAAAACGATTTTTATAAATTTTTTTAGAGATAGTGAAATAGTAATAGTGTAATAATTATATCTATATAGTTTATATTAGCTGTTTATCTCTGCTCAATCTACAGTTACTATATACCTACATAAAGTTTTGCTCTATGATCGAATAAATATAGATTTTTATTAAACAATACCTAAATAGCTTCGTTTTGAAGATGATATCAACATTGTATTTATTTTCTCTTTCTGACCCATGCTCATCATAAAAAATTCGAGTTCAGTAAAAACAATATTGTGTTATTAGTAATAACACAGTAATAAGTAATAACTTATTACTTATTAGTTTTAAACATTTTAAACCTATTATCAGATTTAAAGACAAGAATATTTAACTAAGCATCTTTAAGGCTTTTATTAATATTTAAATTTAAACTGATTTATAAATATGTAGTTTATCACACTTTGAAAATTTCATAACTTTTGCTTTTAAAAACTAACAAAATAAAATTGGTTCAGATAAACATCAATCGCCATGTTGCAGATCGATCAGACATTGAGAAAATAAATATAGAGGTGACATCCACTTAATGAAATTGTACTTGGACACTCAGTCTGTAAGTTATGTAAAAAATAAAAATGTCTTTATGTCTGTATATATTATTAAATTATATAGAAAGGAGGACACCTGGACGTTTTCCTGAAAATCAAAATCCCCACGATCTAATCCTAATCGACGAGTTAATTACTTAATTCAATACTTTTGAGTACCTTTTATCCATTTAAAATGCATAATCATTATTTAAGATTAAAACTATAGTTAACGCGTTTTCACAGTCCTTCAGTATATCTACGCACGAAGTGAAACTTGACTAAATTAGGTAAGTAATATAATATTATATTTCAGGGATGGGCAACTGGCGGCCCGCGTACCTTTTTTATCTGGCCCGCGCTTCATTTTCAAATTACTTCATATAATTTACTAAGAGTTTCAACTACAGAAATAGAAGTGGATTTTACTAAATTGTCTATTGAAAAACCTCATCCTCAAGTATCATATTTAATAATAATTGTAAATATAAATAAATAAAGATAAAAAATAAATGTTAGTAAATTTGAAGGACCTTTTTTTTTTTTTTTTGCTTTCTCCTATGCACTGCGGCCCGCTAGATTTTAAAGTACTTAAAAGTGGCCCGCTAGTTACTTTGAGTTGCCCATCTCTGTTATATTTAAAGGCAAAAATAAGTACCTTTTACTTAATAACAAAATTCTAAAACAAAGAAAATTAATTTAGGATTATTGTTATTGTTAAATGTTTTATTGGAAAAATAGATTTAGGATTTTGGTTGTTATGATGTTATGATCTTCCGATAATACGTAGTTGTAATGACGATGATATAATAAAGACGACCCACGTTACTTACTACAATATTATACTGAATAACCGTTCGAAACGATTTTTACTGTGGTAAATAACAATTTTAACGATTACGACAAATAGTAATGATGATCGCACAGAGACAAGGTTAGAGATCTTACTTTGCCGTTTCGAGGTAATATGCTGCCTTTTCCAGGTTGCCCTTAGTTTTATACAAAAACGCAAGCTCTACGTGCGCGTACGGCACCAAAAAACGGTCCTCTTTGATTTTCTTCTCCATCGATACGACAGACTTGAAACACTCTTCAGCGTACAGAGGGCTGTCCATGATGCGCAAACACACGCCTTTCAATAGACACCCGAGTGCTTTGTTATCGTACTCGTATTCACTGCCATATTGCCCTATGCAGAAAAAAACAAATATAAGTATTACAGTGGTGATACTGGCCTTTTTTTTGTGATAGGAGATAGTATTTATTTTTTCAATGTTCGTTGGGGGAGTGGGGTACCATATTTCAATATCATAATTATTCATTATTCTTTCCCTCAATTAATCAAATTAATCATATTTTTTTATAAAAGATAACATTCACACTAAGGAAATCACTTTACTATATATTAGTAGCTGATGATTTTATCTAGAATTGAATAATTCCCTGTAATAGATGGTATTTAATTTGAATTCAATTTTAAATCATTTGACAAAAAAACATTTTTGAGCGGAGACAGTCTGGTAGCTATATTTCTAAGGATATTTTTTTTATATTTAAATTGTAATAAGTAATTTTTTTTTGATAGTACTCGTAATATGGTACTTTGGTCGAATTAATTCTGGTCAAAAACAAATCGTAATAATTACATTACTGCTAGTAATTGTTTATATTATTACTTTATTAATGTAAATTTTTTTAAAGAAATAGGAATTTTTAAAAATAATTTTGATTAAACATTTTTGTTTTCTTCAATACTTGTATATCTTTAAGAAGTGTCATATAGTAGACAATTTAAGTACATAATAATGATTATGTTTACCCAAAGTTTAAACTTGAATGTTTAGTGACTCATAAAAATACAGTGCACTATACAATAATAAAAATAAAAATAAAATCCTAGGATAAAAAATTTATAAAACTCATTTATTTTTTACAATTTTTTAACAAGTTATGATAATTTTACATTACTATCACGATAATATTATAGGTTGATATTGTATGTGTTTTTACTGCATAATTTAACTGAATAATCTGTATAATTTATATGAAATATTTTCATTACTGATCAAGTGTAACGGCATACATGTTTTATATAACAATATACTTTTACTAAAGTATCAGAACATATTATTTAACGTGAAAACGTCTCTATAATGAAATATGAAAATAAGAGAAACTTCAACGAACTCATTAACTATGTTATAAACAGCAAGTTCAAGAAAGGACTTCGCAGCTTTTAACTTTAAGTGCAAATTACATTTCACAAAATAAATATTAAATTAGATATGATGAAAATGGTTTTTGAATACGATAGTAAAAATAAAATTTTTGAGCTGTTCATTTTGCACAGTTTTAAAGCACTAAAACATTAAGAATAGTATCATTGCATAAAATTTGAGATGTTCCTTTTATCGATTAAACTGTTTGAGCAGATAGTACTTACTTTAGATAAATAATTTTTGTGAACTACTAGTAGCTCCAGGATAATTAATAAAATAATAAACAACAATACAAGACAACAAATTATATTGGAACACTTAGAATTATTTTAATATTTTTGAATATAAGATGCAATTTGTTAATTAATTTTAATAAATAGTGACATCGAAGTGATTTTAAAAAGAGACTGCACTTTTACATTTTTTCTGAAAAAAATACGGTTTTGGCTTATTATAACTGTTGATTTTTGAACATCTCATTATTGGCTATTTTACATAGTTTTTAACTGTATTATTTAAATGTCTATACATCCTCTGAATCCTTAAGGCGTACATTTTATCAATCTAATGGATTAATAATTAGTTTATAATGAATGTTGTTTAATATGTCATCTTAAATCGCATAAATAATGCACTCGGTATATAATAATTGTATTGTTAATTGTGTCGATAAACAAAACAAAAATCCAAAGCACACTATGACAAGAGGTAACTAATTAATAATATATAAAGTTATATGTTAAATAATTTAACAACCTCGATTTATTTTTTAATTTATATTTTTCCTTTACTTCTAAAAATGTTGTTATTAGGCAATAAACACTAGCGTACAGTACAGCTAAAAACTAGTGTAAAACCTCTTTTTATCGACTGTCAGTTGTTTTAGCTCAACCTTGTGCTACAATTTATAATATCAATTTCATTAGTCATAAATTGGAGTAGTTCTAGGTTAATACTAGAATAAATTTATTGTTAATCTGATATAAAAATAAATTGTTACACATTATTATTGTTAATATAATCTGCATTAAGTTTTATTTTATACGTTTAAATCGCAATTAAATTCTGGTTTTACTTACTTCGCTTTATTAAAAACTAAGAACGAATCATAAATATACATAATCATAATATTTTATATCATATAATTTTTATTTTCTAATACTACGAAACTTATATAACTTAAGGTAGATAAGAAGAAATAAATAAATAAATAAAATTATCGGCACACACAAAAATCTGGAGTTGTATTCAGGACTTAAAGTGGCATAAAGTCAAAGGAAACTGAAGTGATGCTTATTGATTTATTCTTTATAAATAATATTTTAAATGCCCTTTCAGGAGTGTTAACTTGAATAAATACACATTATTTATTTAAAAATTGTAATTTTATTACGTTATTGTAACCAGTAGCGTTTTTTGTGTTCATTAGTACTTGTTATCTCTAAATTAGTACCCCATACTATTAATTTAAATTAAGTAAAAATTTCTAACCAAATTTTAGAATCCAATTTAGCACCCATTTATCTAGAATTAAAATTATAATTATAATATAATAAAAATATTTATTCTTAAAAATGTTTGTTTTTTAAATGAAATAATATAAATATAATAGATACATTAATTATATATTGTTAAGGACGTACATTACATATCATATTAATTTTCTTAATGCCAAGATAAAATAACAAAGTAAAATAAAATATAATGAAATAAAATATTTACTATTAATTGAGGACATTATTTTGATAAAACTAAAAGTTTTGGACGTTCTTCCATATATTAAGAAGAGTATGTAAAAACAACGTTGTTTAAAAGCAGTGACTGAGTTTTGTTTGTGCTCCACTCTACGTTAACCTTTCGTTATATTAAATACAAATTTTGTTAATGACAAACTCATTTGTGCGTCAATATTTTTATTTAGAACTTTAGGATAGTTATTTTAACAGTTATAAAATTAACTCAAGAATTTTGAAGTGTCAATGCTCTTGAACTTCGAAGTTAAAATAAATCCAAATTTGTAACAGTTTTAATATAATATCTAATTTATCACTATATTAACTATATTATTTAAGGGCTGTGGTAAACATAGATTTAATGAAAACATATTATATTAATTATTTGTTCATACTCTTTTCTAACCTACTGAGATACTACCCAACTTAAATTATAAGATGAAAATATTGTCATCTAAATGAATGGTACTATAAATTATAATTTTATTGTATATTATCTAGTTACTCAAGTATAATAAATGGATAACTTATAAGCTCCCGATTTACTCTATTCATTTAATTATTAGCAAAAAAAGTGAAAAACCTAATATATTTTAACTATATGTATTATGTAGTTGTATCCTAACTGGGAGTGGTTCTAAAAACTTTCATAGTTGCGAAATTGGCTTAAAATGTATAAAATGTAGAAACAAGAATTCAAATAGGTATAGTATATATATTCATAATGAATATATAATTTAATACAGGTAAAGTAGATAGTCAATTATATTTAAAGTAAATAATTGAAATTTTGGTGCCTAGATGTATAATATGTATATACATATAAAATTTATAAATATATTAATAACCAATAAGTGTATAAAATTGAATTATTTAATGAATACATTTAAATAGAATAAACTTGACTATTTGAATACTTTCTATAATATAGTTGAATAATTTATCATTGCATATAAAGATTCAAATTAGATATTGCCATAAACCAGGAGAGACAAATCAGGTATTTTTTTTTTTTTAATGATATAAGAATATTGTAATTATAACATAGTATTCACATTTTATATTATGGTAATAAGTACTCGTAATAACTAATAAGGTTATAATTTTGTTAATTTGCCGGAGTATTTTTATTTAGAAGAAACAATTTAATAATACTATCATTTTATGACATTTGTTGAGGTCTCTGAGCATTAGATTTAAAAGAAATAATAAAGTGAAGAAAACATTTTTATCCTGTTTCTAAGTTTTGAGTATGAATTATAATAGTGTTAATATATTATTCTAAATTATAACGCACTAAAGAATATACGTTTTTTAAGGAATATTAATAGTTTAATTTAGAATAACTAAGCTTTAATATGTATAATAGTAATTGTACCTGTAATAGTACCTACTTTGTTTTTGATTTTATCAATATGATAGGTAATTGAAATTTAACTTTATATTAAAATATAGACACATGCATAATTTATAATGGATACCCATTTTATACCAGTATTAAGTAAAGAATTTTTTAGATAATACTCAATTTTTTATATGAAAATTAAATTATAGTATATTTATTTATATTTATTAACTTATATTAAAATTTCTTTATTACTATACCATTTACAAAAATATTAAATAACGAAGATTTAATTGTATAATTATTCTGTCTAATTTCAAGTTAATAGTTTTGAAATTGTTTGCAACATCGACTAATTGTTATATATTTAAATTTTGTTTCACTGTAAATACACCAATATTAAAATATATTAGAAATAAGATAGGCGATAAATGATCTCTCTGCGAGACATCGAAATGTACACAGGAATATGAATCTAAGTATAAATTTTCATAATTTACTTTCTGAAAGCGATTTTTTTTTTTAACATAATTTTACCATGAAAGAAAAAGGTTATTAATTTAATAATGTTTAAGTTTTCAATAGTAGATATTATGGTCAACTCAGACAAAATCCTTTTTTAAAAAACTGTGTAAACTTCATTAGTAGAAAATGTGTTAAATAAATGTGGCTTGGAATTAACTATAGATTCGTTTTCATTAATCGCTTTTTACTGAAGCTAGTTTATCAAAAATTAAATTATCTAAACATGAAAAGTCTTATTAAATTAGAGTTTAGAATTAGATTTTTATTTTTGAGTAAAAAAACTTAAAAATATAACACAATATATGTATTTTTTAATGTGAAAATATAAACACAATTTTTTTTAGAAACGTATGAATTTCAAATTTCATAAAATTCTGAGATGTATTTAGATAATTTGTGATGTATTTATAGTTTAAAATGCATCAAATTTTAATTTGATATCTAAAAATTGAAAATGTCCTCGTAATACAAGATTTCTCATTAGTTTTATTAACTATAATTTCAAGAAAAAGTATAGCATACAGTCATATTAACTTTTTTTATAAACGTTTGAATTTAAACAGTTGCGAAAGTTCATCAAAATCTTAAATTATTTTTTAATAACTGTCTTCACTTAGAATCTATTGCATTAATTAATTTGCATCAAAAGATTCGTTTTAATCCACAAATTTTTTTATTGCACACACACACATATATATATATATATTTTGTAAGTTTAATTTTTACAATTTTAATAAAAAAAATAGTTTTTGCATATTTAATGATTATTGCATATTTTGACAAAATTTTACTTTCATTGAAATTAAATTAAATTATAAACGTTTTCAAAACTGAAAAAGTATGAAATAATACTTCGTTATATAGAAAATTTTAATGTTAATTTTTTGACTTCAAACCTATCATTTTTTTCGGTAAACTAATATCAATTTTATCGTTTTTAACAGAAATTTATATTTTTTGTTTATAAGTTTGTTAATAAATTTCACCAAAACAATATTTGATTTGTTAAAAATATTTAATTCAGTTATTAAATTTATTTTCAATTATTTCATACTCAATAAATTAATAACTATCACTAAATATCTGTAAATTATTGATTAATCTTTCCTAATAATTTATCGGTTAGGTAGATTGTTATAAAAAATTCGAGGGTGGAGAAAACAATTAGTACATTGTATTTTAAATGATGTATTAATTAATATCACAATCAATAAAATATGTTGAGTTAATTATTTTAAAATACTTATCACATGAACCAAATTCACGTTTATTTATTCTGTACTTTTTATTTCGAAGTGGAAAATTTTTATTTCAATTTAATTATTTATTACTATGTAACAATACTATGTAAAGCCAGGTATATGATATTTATCTTGTAGAATCAATGATATTTATCAGAAATATGAAAACATTTGAACTGGATAATTACTGAAGCGTTTGTTTCTGTATGCGTTTTTATGTTATAATAACTATAAAAGGAACATTTTATGAATGAATACGGTCCAATGGTCAAAACCAGTTATACTCAACCTGACCAACAATCTACAATAACTAAAAATCAAAAATCACTCTAATAAAAATTACATTTATAACTATATGCCATTAATAAAAATCATAAATCGTTATAATATCCTAAATTTATTTTTAATTATTCAATGTTTATCCTTTGTGAATCATCTCTATTCAGGTTTCTCGATTACTTAATTATACGAACTCAGTAAAACGTAATGTAGGTGGTCTGAGCAAGTTTAGTTGTTCTAAATAAATCATAGGCGTTGCGAATTGCTCTGTAGACAAAAATTTGTGTTGTGACTTGGTTATACGACACGATATCATACACCCAGTTGTTGTATCAGGATTTAGCCGGTGTGATTAATTCCACCACTAATTGACTTTGGACTTATATAGTGACCATATTGATTTAGCGCGGAACGTAAATCGGTTATATTATACGCACGCGATGATTAGAAACTCTAGAAGCTCTCGAAGCTCTAGAAAAAATAAAGATAAAACCTACAATGACTATTATTGTCCTGACGAATATTTTTAAGAAATGTCGACGTTCACTCAATTTAATAATACTATAATACGTCAATATTAACATCATAGTAGTAATATTATATAGTTTGGCTAGAATGCAAACATAATATTATATGTAACATACTACTTCGTATACTATCATTATTTTGTTCGCAAAATTGCAAACGTCTTAAAATCTCAGAAAATACATTATAGTGCAGTGAAATAACAACAATCAATCGATCCGTCAGCCTTTGACTACTGCAGTGAATTATAGCGACAATAAGTAATTATATTGGTAATAACAATTACGATGTAATGTATAACTTATAAATTAATAATAATAAATCGGATAATAACTGTACCAGGATTTTTTTCAAGGTCTTTTGTGTTTCTATCAATGAGTCTGTACAGATTGTCGCACAATGACTTGCGTTTGCCGAATACGTTGAACAAGTTCCACAAGTACAGCAATTCAATGGCAGGCATGAACAGCCTGTTATTCTGATTGGCAAACCTTTGAGATCTCTTTACAGCAAATTTTTCCATTGGCAACGATTTTCCCGCGATCCTCTGTTTGTATTTGGGCACGTCCCTGCAGTGTACATACGTATAATACATAAATATTTATTATTTATGCATAAAACGACACTGTCTAAGGCTTTGAATTAACACGAAAATAATAAATAAAATTTAAATAGTACCCAAGTACTATTATAGAAATAGTATGTTTTGACTTTAAGGCTACTGGTTTTTTTTTTCATAATATTCGGATTGTTTTCGGTTCAAAGCCTTGACAATAAAGTTAAAAAAAAAAACTTAAGCTCCAATATTATAACAATATTATTATGTCATGTAAAGTGTTCACTTACGCCATTAACTGGTTGACCGTATTGAGCTCGTCGCGGGACAAACAATTGTATCCTCGCATGAGCATGATACATGCTCGCTGGTAGTTGTATGTAGTGCGTGACCACTTGCTCTGCTCCGCCAATTTGGCCGCGTATATTTCTGCGCGTTTCCAGTTTAAGGCAACGCTAAAATGAGTAAAATGAATCGCATTATTATATATCAATATACTATGATCCATAAGTATACCGCACCATGGTATATAAATATATTAATATTCAATGTATATTATATAATTATATTCGTTATACTGTGTCAAAGGGTCGAATCATAAGATAAGATAAATGTTTATCGTTTTTATCATTACGACAAGTACGACAGTATATGGGAATTAAGTTTAATCCACTGTTTTCTCATTTCAAACTATTTAATAATGTTAAAACACTAGTATAGGTTGTGATTCTTTTACTAGTAAATGCATAATTATCTCAAAATTTTTTTTTGGAATTTAGTAAGGCATATTTTTTTACATAATTTGACGTGATTATAAAAAAATATTTTCGAAAAATAGTTTATCTTATTATGTTATCATTGTTATTTCCAAGTTTTCTACTTTTTCAAATTACATGTCAGCATACATTTTAAATTTCATATTCCTAAGCTGTATATGTTTCTAATCTATTTTAATATTATTATGTACAAACCAATTGGCCCAGCACAATTCCCAGTAGCATATGTGATGGAATTGAGGCCATGAGTCTTGGGACTCCACCGAAGCTGTGTACCATTTGATTGCATCGTCTACGTTACCACGCATAAACTCCAGACGTCCTTTAAAGTACAAGAACCACGCACCGTTAGGATACAGCTGCGCACACCATCATGTAAATATACAATAATACAGTATACAACGTTTGTTAAATATAGATAGATATTATTTCATAAAATTATACGATAGATTTTTAGGTACCATAAATAAATCCCAAAAACTAGATTGCCGGATTTTTATATACATAGGGTAAATAATTCCTATAATATATTGAGGTTCCTAGATTATAATAATTAAGGATTTTTTTTTCAATTACAACTACAGTAGACGCCGCTTATAAGACTCACGGATATAAGGTTCAGTCGCTTATTAGACTCAAAATCGTCTGGAACGGACGTATCCAAATACATTAAAAAAAATCGGTTTTAAGACTCAACACTTCGATTATAAGACTCAAATTTCGTAAAATAAATAGTAGAAAATAAACTTTTTTGGTTATAATTTAGAAATAAATTGGTTTTGAAAAATGAAATAATATTCCTGTTGATTATTTCTAGTTTCTGTTGGTACCTTATAACGTATAATAATTTTTATCGCAGATAAAAGTTCACATTTATCGCAACGATGATTATAACGATTATAATTTTAGTTTTTTTTATCGGGACTATTAAATTTATTCAATAATAACGTATGTAATATGTGTTAATGTATTAAAATCAAAGCAAAATATGTAGTAAAATAAAATTTATAAATACGTAATTAATTTTTTTTTCCACTTCGCCTATAAGATTCATTCGGTTATAAGACTCACTTTGTGCTGATCCAAAAGTGAGTCTTATAAGCGGCGTCTACTGCATAAAAAAAAAAAAAAAATGATTACATTTTGACAAAATATCTAAAATATCCGTGTAACAAAGATTTGAATTTTTTTTCTTATGGAATTAAGTCTTGATATTTTCTTTTGTTGAAATTTGTTAGTTTGATTTTACGTAAAATTATTATTGTATCAATCTAAACTCCTATATACAATATCTATAAACGACAAATCTAAAAAAATGTGTAGGTATGTTCATTTTGCGGACAATTGTTTACATTTTTAAAATCCATTATTTAATGACGTGATTATGTAAACATTGAATACTGATTTATGTAAAAAAAGACTAAATTGAATAAAATATCTAATGGGGGAAGGCATTTTAACATATTCTGGATTCACTAGTAATGCTGACTCCTATTTTTTTCATAAATAATAAAAATATAATAACCGAGAAAATATCGATTTCGTTATTGTATTTCACGCTGTTTTTTAAAAAAAAACATAAGGTTGTTATAATTATACCTTAATTATTTTATAAAACAAAAATTTAAAACATAAATATACATATAAGTATTGAATAATACTTTTTAAATAAATAGGAAATAACGAATGGTATAAACTATAAATATATAAATATTTATGAATTTAACAATGTTTATTAAATTTGTAATTTGAATACATAAATATAGTGATTACTTAAATGTTTTTGTCACCAATAAAATGCACATACTACACATTCCTGTTTTTAGTGTTATTGTAATACCAACAATAATACCTAGTTAATTTATATTTTGATTTAATTAATTTAATAAAATAAAGAAGATATAATATTGAAACACCAGATAAATAATATATTTTAAAATATCGTGGAGTACAATAATGGAATCATGGTATTTCTCAACCATCGCCACCGGTCATTACAGTACGAAATCAAAAAGTATCAAAGAAAATATGAATGTGAACATTGAACATGGTTGATAAATAATTCTGTATAGTATGTGTAAAATACGAGCATGTGCTATGGTTAATGCTTTGTACCTAAAGCTCGCTTCAATCCAATTACTAAATTATTTTATTTTGTTTGAAGAACCACCCCACTAATCTGTTCACCAAAAATGTATGCATTATACATGTTATAATTGCAGTATGTTATATTATAATGAATAAGTCATAGGATAATAAATTTAGCAATGGAAACAAAACCTTACCGTTAATTGTTGGCGCAGCGCTGTGTCGCAAAACTCTAAGTCACCCTCTTCCTGACTGAAAACGTACACCACAACCAGGTGGTAAGTGAGCATGGTTAGAACGCATAGGACGTGTCGTAGTCCATGTGGAACTTGGTAACACAATTCAAGTTCACTGAGGCCTTGTTCCTGCAGTTAGATTTAATTTTTAATACTTATATTTAGGAAAAAGACATGTAGATTTTATGGCAGCATTATTAATGAACAATTTAGGAAAGGATAGGACATTTGCAGCTACATTTTGCTGATCGAATTAGACATGACGTGTGGTTAAAAAGGAATAGAGTCAAAATCACTATTTTTCAAGAAACGCAAAAATCGTTACATTTCTATATTAAATTTATGCATTTTATGAAAAAAAAAAAAATTATCAAATTGACTTATCCCATTTATCCCACATATTGACCAATAAAAGCACTTAAAATAAAAAGTGAGTCATCATGGCATGGTAGCATGGTACCATAGTTGTTAAATCAAACATTTGTATCTTTTGACTCATGCACCGATACAAAGTTTCTCATTTAAATTTAATATGCTCATGCATGACACGTCCTATTAATTTCTTAATTTATTTTTTTTAACTAATATATCTTATAATAATATACGTTATATGGGCGTTCAACCAAAAGGCAATTCTTATAAAACGGAAAAAGTGATATTTTCACTATAAATTTAGTTTTCCCACCGTTATATATGTCATCAAAAACTATTATCTGTAAAACGCCAAATGTTTGCTTGTATAACCGAATAAGAATCGAACAAATATGGTGACTTTCAATTATAGAATTCCTATTTCCCAAGAATTTTATTATAAGGTACATTATTTATAAATATTTAATGTTTATAATATGTATATTGTGAACATCGATTCTTAAAAAAAAAAAAACGATTACTTTGCTTCCAGAAAACCCGATGAATTCCAGTAGTTTGATTATTTTTGACGGCAGTAACGAGATCATCTATATATATGAAAAAAAATAAAAATATACAATATAAATTTAAATTCATGAACATCAAAATCATATATTATATTATAAAGCATATTGTGGGCAGTATTCACTTTAAAGTATAAAAGTAAGTTATAGACAATACACAACAATAAAAACTGTCACGGCGATCGTCGAATATATACAAATATATGTAATGAATCTACTTCAATTCAGATTTTTGGAATATTAATTAAGGAACATATTTTCTATTTTTTAGATTTTTAAATAATTTTTAGAAGTGTCCACACAAATTTACTTATTATTTTAAATTATTATGCAAAATATTGGTGTATTCTTTTGAATAATTAAAATGTATATTTTAAGGATAATAGACCATAAAAACGGTTTTATAAAAATATAAAATAGTTGTATGTTGGATTTAGTACTAAGTATTTATTTTAATATTTACTGAGTATAAAATGTTGATAGGTTAATATTAATAACGTAAGTTTTTACTAACCATAGCTCTCATAATTTCAAAACCCATTATTATTGAATATTGACTTATTACACAATTATAATATTTACAATTAGTTCGGATATCGATTTGAATACTTCAAAATTATTAAAAGTCAGTCATCTGGTTAACCATTTACAGGAAAAAAAGCGATTTCCAATCGAAAAAAAGAAGTTGGTACACTAGGACAATAGGATTTTGCTTAAATTATATTGAATTCTAAGTATTTGAAAATATGGCTCTTAAGTTTATTAAAATAAATTAGAAATTAAAATTTGAATAAATTTATTATTAAAGGGAAAAATTATTGTATTCAATATAATCATCTATATTATTATAAATGTATAGTTATTATTTTATACAATACTTGCCAGATTAAAAGCCCCGATACCCAGACGCACGCCACTCTCAAAATGCTCTTTGTAGGACTTTTCGTTTTCAGACCATGAGCGCGAGCTCAATATGACATTACATTCTCTAAAAAAAAAAAAACACCATAAAAGTAGCATTATATAAATGTGTGATGCGTGATAAATATTTATTAATTTAAAATAAACACACACTACGATCATTCTCAGATTAAACATGTACTCATTTATCAGTCTTAGGACAGAGACTACAATCAGACCGTAAATATAACCAGTTTTGTGTTAAGCTTGGAATCTTGTGTAAAGCCCGGGATCATGTGTAAGTAAATTACTAAACCAGAACCTTTTTTAAATAATTGTAACGACTAACAACAGTCCAAAACCAGAAATCATATTATTATAGTTGGTATATGTATAAAACATTAAAAATTTGAATTAAATTGATTTTTTAAGTTCAGTATTTGGTTCTATAACGGTTTTTCTCTATATATTGTGAACGTCCTACGTAAGTATTTAAATATAAGAATATATCAGTAAATTTGAATTTATTATTTTTTTAACTGGTTAAAAAGTTCTGTAAATTTCACAAGTGCAAATCTAACCTATTATTACCGGAACCATGAAAAAATTATGACAGTAAATATCAGCAAAAGTAATTATAATCATTATTAACCGTTAATATTTTTGATGTCATATTGTCTATATAAAATTTAATAGTACATGTTCAATATAACATGACTAAATCGGTAATCACATTGATATATATTATAACTATTTGGTAACTATATAATATAGTTATATAGTATATGACTAAACTTAACAATAGACCTATGCATTTTAGTCGTATAATATAGATTATGAGTTGAACACATACTTGTATGAGTTGTAGCATGATCGTATTTTAATGCCTGCCCGAATGAAACTGACTAACGTCTCATCTTCAATGAATGTTAAAAGTGCTTTAAGTAACAATGCTTCGGCGAAACATAGTTCAGCATGTAACTCGTCTGTACGGAAATACAAAAAATATTAATAAATAACAGGTGTAATACCTACGTAAAAAATTAATGGTTTTAGTAGACGTCATAATATTTTAATGTTACTGCACGTGCAACTGGACTATATTATACTATATTCATAAAATAAACCCATGTTTTTTTGTGTTATTTGAGAATAAGAAAAAGGAGTTATATTAGGTATAATATAAGATTATTTTTGTTTTAAAGGAAAGATAAAAAAGTTAAAATACACGGAATTATAAAAAAAAACATTTGAAATGAAATTATTTAATGTTGAAATACTGTAGTCCAACATTAACAATAATAAAATAGGTGTACATTATTGAAACATAATAAATGGTTTAAAATGCAGATAGGCATGATGATAAATATATCAATATATGCAATGAATACATCGCAACAATAAATGAAATTTTATCGCGCATATTGTATTATATGTACCATTATTAGTCTACAATAGTAATATTACGGTACATGTTTTGTTCGGATAATACATTATTATTTTGTACAGTAACACTCAAACCTAAGTAATTACTAAAGTATTCAATGGCTAACGGCTAATAATATTGTATGAATATAAATAATTATATTTAACAGAATTGTCGATTCACAAATAAGATGGTTGGTGAACGGGTCAACCATAAGCAGAAATTATAACTCAAAAGTAACCAAATGCAAAAAGTATTAAGTATATTAATAATTTATAGACAATATTGTTTACACAAATAATAATATTTAATAGCTAGATAATTTCATATAGCGTTATGTGTTTTATAAAATCATTGAGATGTATTAAATATTTTAATGAACCTATAAAATAGTAGATAGTTGAAAATAAACTGTTACTTATTTGAAAACGTATTATATAAAACAGATAAATTATTACAAATATTAAAATTAGTTTATCGTTTATATGTTATTATACGTATTATATTGTTATTAAATACATTTTAATTCATAATATTTTAAAAATATTAACGTTATAATTAATTTAATACTTATCTTAAAATTAAATTTGAAGTTAAGAGCTGTAAATTAATTATTAATTAAAGTTTAATGGGTTATTTTAACTCTTAATTAAACCAAATAATAAAATTTAATTTTTGCTTTTTTCTCATTGTGAAGTTAAAGCATGTATAATAAATGCGTAAGTCTATCTAATAAATAATGCAAGTTTTTTTTGGATACCACCGGATAAAAATTATTTTAATTTTAAATAAAACCTTTATTATTTAAGTGTATTCTCATAAATCGCGTTTCCATGAGTGTATTGATAATATGTATAATAATTTATTGTAGAAACAAGGTGAAACTGAATGGAACTATATTTTGATTTTAAGGTTTTTATGATACAAACAAATTAGTTGAAAATCACGTTCAATAACATAATCACTAATGGTTATTGCAAACAACTACCTATTGTACGTAATAAACGATACGTTCTGTTACTTAAATTCTTATTTTATTGATGAAACGTGTAAATATATAGGTAAAAGAGAGCATTTATAAAAATACATAGGCGTCTAGATCGTTTCTTGGATTTAGAAATTATATTTTTAGTAATAACAAAGACATTAAATAGATTTTAAGTTTTAAATAAATAATAGGTACATAATATGTGTTTAGATCATTTCTTGGATTTATAACTTTTGAAGTAATATTTTTAGCAATAATAAAGATATTAAATTGAATTTAAATAGATGATAAGAAATGTAGTTTATTATATTTTAGTGTTAGTTATTTTGAAATACATACCTACAATACTTGTCGTTATATTTTACAGAACGTAATATGTTTAATATGCATTATATTATAATGAAAGTCTGATTATATTTAAATGTAAAATTGTCATATCATAGCAATTTATTTTGTTTATACCTAATAAGCTCTTGTTACACTGTTATTATACCTAAGTACGTATTCCCACATAATGGAAAACCACTAACCGTGCATTTTTTTTACGAATTTTCATGTATAAATTTTACAAACTATAGCATATTATACAATTATTTCCGATTTAAAATTAAAATATATTTTGGACAATGAATAGTCGCTAATAAAAATTTTTGATTTTTATACCTAAATTTAAATTATAGTAATAAATAATAATAAATAAAGTAATCAATAAATAACAGTGACTGTTTTAGAAATTTTCATGATCAAAATCTTGAAACGTTCTGATTATCTTGGATTCAAACTCGAATTAAATTATTGTGATGCCTTTACCCATATATCTATAATTTTTAGTTAGGCCCTCTTAAAAAAAAGTTAAAAAGTTAATTATTTTAATTTATGTACAAATAAAATTTTTTTTTAGTTTTTACATATTTTGGAATTTTTTTATAACCAGTGATAAAAGGAAAATCAGATTTTTTAAGGAATTTATACATAACACTTAGTAGCTTATTTAATGTATTATCTCATTTAAATGTAGGCTAGTCTTTATTTAAGTATACTAACGATAATTTATAAGATTTAATCTTACAGTAATGAATTTAATATTTATTAATTTTATTATTCATTTAAACAGCATACCCGGTGTAAACGAGTCGTAGTTAGGCTTTTTCATTATGTTCCCAATGGATTGCGTCAGAGTGGTTTTTCTGCGATACGAATTGCATAAACGGATACTGGATTTTAGTGCCTCAGACGCTTTTTGTATGCTCGTCTGTGTGCATTATATAAATTCATAAAAAAAAAAAAAAAATAAAACACAATGTTATTATTATTTTAGATAATAATATACTAATATAATATAATATATACAGTGTGATCACGATAAGTGGAAACATTCAATAACTATGTGCAGGCTTCATATATTTCAATTCTGCTTTTTCGGCTAACTAATAAACATTATTATACACATTTTCAAATAATTAGACTATTTTTTTGACAACTAATTTTGCGCATGCGCACAATAACTTTTTTTTTTTAAATGGCATGATCCATTTTTGACCACAAATTATTTTTTTTGGTATTTTTTAATGAATTTTAGTGGTTGAATTTCTTTTCTAAGTCAAAAATTGACCGAGTTATAGCAATTTGATTTTATGTTATTTGCACGGGTATGAAATACGTAGTTGATAATAATAAATACGTAAATAATAAAAATAAAATTACAAATATTGATTTTTTTTATTCATAAAAGTTTTATTTATCTAACAAATTGTTCAAACTGTGCGCCATGGTGCTGTAAACAACATTCAACACGAATTAAAAATTCTCTGTTAATAGCAGAAATAATTTGTTCCTCTGTAATTTGATTACATGCAGCAAGTATTTTATTTTTCAACTCAAGAAGACACGTAGGTGGATTGGCATACACTACCGTTTTCAAGTGACCCCATAGGAAGTAATCTAGTGGTGTAAGATCTGGTGACCTTGGTGGCCACTGAACTGCTCCATAAGTCCCTATCCACCGATTTGGAAAATATTCATTGAGCTGATTGCGAACAATATTTGCATTATGAGCTGGAGCTCCGTCTTGTTGGAATATTAAATTTGCTCTTATATCTAGTGGAATGTCATCTAACATATTAGGGAGCTCATTTAGTAAGAAATCATGATAACGTCTTCCATTAAGAGTGCCATCGTAGAAGTATGGCCCTAATAGTTTACCATTTATTAAACCACACCATACATTCGTTCCCCACACACTTTGATTATTGGTCTCAAATGTCCAATGGGGATTTTGGTCATCCCAATAGTGATGATTATGTTTATTTAAAACACAAGGATTTTCGTTTAACTGTGTTTCCAACCAAGCAATGAACGTAATTCTACGTTCGGCGTCACCTTCACGTAAATGTTGAACTAAATCGGCACGATAAGCGTGCATTTTATGTTTTTTCAAAATTTTTTGAACAACTCCAAATGAAATATTTATTTCTCTACTAACATGATGAATAGAAGTCCTAGGATTTGCTTTCACGTAAGCTAGTATTTGCACCTCAATATCTTCTCCAATAGCATTTCCTCGTCTTGGTTGTTGGTTAATAATTCGTTTGGAAAAAGAACCGGTGTCTCAAATTTTTTTCCAGTTTATAAAAAAAAGTATGTGATGGATGCTGCCTATCTGAATTTATAAATAAGAAAGAGCATTTATTTTATGAGAAATTAAGCAGAGAAAATTAAATTTATTGTTAAATCATACGAGTAGTTACTTGGATAACGAAGAGCATAGGTTTCTTTGACAAGGCGTGTATTTTTTTGGCATTCCCAATATGTAAAAAGCATGTCAACTTTTTTCTGAATTATTATTCATAATAATTAATAGATAAGTATTAAATTTGGTTTAAAACTACAAAATATCGATTTTTATTTCCTATTAGTTTCTAGCACTTACTGCAGAATAATATCGACTGTGAAAAATGTCTTAATTTGAACCATTACTGGTACCTATGCTCAATGAATATTTTCCAAATCGGTGGATAGGGACTTATGGAGCAGTTCAGTGGCCACCAAGGTCACCAGATCTTACACCACTAGATTACTTCCTATGGGGTCACTTGAAAACGGTAGTGTATGCCAATCCACCTACGTGTCTTCTTGAGTTGAAAAATAAAATACTTGCTGCATGTAATCAAATTACAGAGGAACAAATTATTTCTGCTATTAACAGAGAATTTTTAATTCGTGTTGAATGTTGTTTACAGCACCATGGCGCACAGTTTGAACAATTTGTTAGATAAATAAAACTTTTATGAATAAAAAAAATCAATATTTGTAATTTTATTTTTATTATTTACGTATTTATTATTATCAACTACGTATTTCATACCCGTGCAAATAACATAAAATCAAATTGCTATAACTCGGTCAATTTTTGACTTAGAAAAGAAATTCAACCACTAAAATTCATTAAAAAATACCAAAAAAAATAATTTGTGGTCAAAAATGGATCATGCCATTTAAAAAAAAAAAGTTATTGTGCGCATGCGCAAAATTAGTTGTCAAAAAAATAGTCTAATTATTTGAAAATGTGTATAATAATGTTTATTAGTTAGCCGAAAAAGCAGAATTGAAATATATGAAGCCTGCACATAGTTATTGAGTGTTTCCACTTATCGTGATCACACTGTATATAACCTGTATAACCTATATAGTACGTAAGCAGAATAATTATAAGTAATTCATCATTAAACAAGCTTATTTTCTTTTCTTATTATTTTTTTTTTTTTATAAATACATAAAGTATTTATTGAAATTCTAATTTTGGGAATTTTTAAAAAACCTAAAAAAAATATATTCAATTTTTAAATTTTTATATAATTTAATAAGGAATACTTTGTGGCACTTAAAATTTTCACAAATCAACTTATACAATTTACATATCCGTATTTAGAAAATAATAGCTCAAAGTTATTCTTTCAAATTTTCATTTTGATGCATTAGTATTCATATAACTATTTTCAATAAAATTAAGTTAGTTTTCATTTAGAAAAAATAAGTTTGCTATTACTACCAGATATTTCTTAAATAGTGTAATTAAGTATTCCAAATTAGGATTGTTAAGTATACTTAACAATTCCAAAAATTAGAATTTGATTAAATTCACCATTAAAGAAAAAATGAAGATAATTGACGATAGATTCTTGGTGAATCACTTTATATACGATGAGCTATTCCGTTCAATGCTATACTATGCGATATTAAGACCAAAGTCATCAATCTGTTTTGTGTTTATATATGTTTTTGTCAGTTTTAGAATTTTAAAAGTGCATTGTGTCTGGTGTGTAAAATTAAAGATATATAAATATGAGAAAAAAATATTAAAATAAAGATTGTACAAACAACATAATAGTACAAATATTAATAAATACAATTAAATTATAATTGCATAGGATAAGGCCTTGACACATACTTGTCAAATCGCGGATATAAATTTTTTTTGTTCTAAGTCCTTGATAAATAAATAGCACATTAAAAAAATTTTCAATTAAAAGACAAATTAATGAAATATATGTTTATTATATGATTTTTATAGTACAAAAAATAGAATAACATTAACCTGTTCGAATGTGAGTAAAGCTTCTAGAAACAGAAAAATTGATCTTCCAATGGTGTGATACATGCTCGTTCCAACCCTATAAAACGTAATTATAATTGTTGATTAAATGATTGACAAACATATTAATTTTTAAGAACATAACATCATAGTAAGTAATAAAAATAATAATATTACAAAGAATAATTTTCATCTAATGTACATTACATACTTAATAATGTAATATGTAGTACGGTATTGACACACGATAATAAACAAATCAATATTGATTGAGTTATACAATTATTTAATTATATAAGTTTAACATATCACTAACATATCCGGTTAAGATTTAATGGTTATAATTTTAAATTTTAAATAGAACAACATTGAAACGATAGATAGGTACATTATGTATGTACCGTACATACTCGTACATAATAATATTGATACCATTGATAGTCATTACAAAAATAATAAAATTAACCAAAATATATTTTTTAAATTATTATTTATATTTTATTATCTAAGCTGTATACTAATATATATATATAGTGTAAATATTTTAAATATTCATCAACAATTTTCATTCTGTGGACAAATTCCGCAGGCGCATATATATCATATTTATAAAGAACACTTAATTTTTAAAATACAGTGTAATATTATTACACGCGTAATGACGTGTAACGTTTAGTACTCTATAAGTAGATTATTACTATCATTTTTTTAATTTTTTTGGTCTATTTACACAGCTGATTTATTCAAAAATGTTACAAATATTATGTTATACTTTATAATGTCAACGCTTTAACAGTATAGCACGCGCATACAAATTAAGTATTAAAATGGACTTTATATGGAAATTAGTGAAAACCCATCATACTACTATTTGTCAAATAGAGTCGCATTAAGGGCCAAACGTAGATGGGGGGAGTTTAACAAAATGTCTTGCTTTTACATTCTGGAACTTAAGTCTCGCAATAAAAGTACAAAAAAATTAGCGTACGTAATAGTGACCCGCATACTTAGCCTTCTAGGAAAGTTTCATGAAAGCTCGGGTGTATAAAAATAAGTTAAAAATATAAAACATGAGTGCAATCGGAACTAGTCAATAAGATTTTATAAAATAAGTGCAAGTCTAAGTTATGACTTAAAACAAATTTAAATTATTATATTGTTTATGAATACCATAATATAGGTAATTAATTGAAAAATCTCTCTGTTATTTGCGTTTTAAAAGTTACTAAATACTTAAATAAATATTAAATATTTTTATTTTACGGACGCAAACACGTTATAAATAATACTATATTTTTTATAAAAATATTTAAGTATAAATGTATAAATTATGTGGATTTATATATTTTAGAGCGTTAAAATATTAATTATAGACAGATCTTTAAATTTTATCTAATTTATGAACATCAAATGATTCAGTTTTTAACTGAATTTTCTATAAGTAAATACATTTGTATTTTAAATTGTAAATTAAATATAATCTATTTTTCGATGTATGTAAAAGGGTGAGGTAACAGGTAACATACATTTTTTTTTCCAGTGGACAAATTTGTTAAAACAGCACTACGTAACATATTACATGAACGTCATGTAACAGATATAAAGCAGCGTTATATATAATAAATAATTAGTATAATATGATCACTATTTATTAGTAATTAATTATTAATCATTACTTTATAGGTAGGTAAATACCACTTTATTGTAATCATGATCGGAATGAAAATATGAAACCTCAACTGAATGAATTCTACGACAATAACTATAAACTTAATTTATTTATGAAAACATTTAAAAAATGTTCTCTCTAAAATTTGTTTTCTAATCAATACTTTTAAAACGATTAACGCACCACAAAGTAATTTTATACAAATATTTCGAGGAAAAAAATTAAAATTTAGTTTTTGTGTTACTATTATACATTATGTATAATACATATGGATCAAGGTAATTTACGTGTGGGGTTCATTTATTCAAATATTTTAGAAATAAAACTGTTAGTTTACATAATATATTGAAATAATATAGCAATTATGTAGAATCTACATTGTAAATATAAATAAAATATTGATGAAAGACGGTTATTCGCAATAGTCGATAGAAGACAGGAGCATACACTATGTATACAGAGTTAGAAATTCACCAAGTATGCTCACCCATTTTTTTCAATAATACTGTTATTCAAAGTCTGATTTTTGGAATTTTTAAATATATATAAAGACCATTTGTTTTCAATTTGTTGAGAATTTTATATTATCTAAGAAATATTTTGTGATAATATAAATTTTCTGTTTTTCAAAAAAGAATCCCCTTTTTAATATTTAAAATGTAATTTCTGAAAATGTTAACATATCCGAATTAAAGTTCAAACAAATAGTTTTTGAGATATTTTACTTGGTATACCTATCAGAAATATCAACAGATATACTATTAAGGATTTAGAAGAAATGGAGATATAACGATGGATATGGTATTTGAAATTGTAGTGATCAATATTTACAAATTAACACGGTTTAAGTATAATTGATACTAGATATAATATCAATAAAAAAATATATTTTTGAAACCATTTTTAAGGACATTATTATCCATAGTACCTATAGGCATTTTAATAAATAAAAAACTACTAGTTGGAATTTTAATTAGATACCAACATAAAAATTTCCAAAGAAATTATAGTAATAAAAGAGGTCAAACATTTGAAAAACAATATATTGTATTTCTATTAGAACAATTATTAAGTACCTAGTATAAAAAAAAAAATTAAGAATAATTTGAAAATATGATCTTTGAATATATTAAAAAATTTCAAAGATCAAAATTTGAATAAATTTATTATTAAAGAAAAATAAGGTTGAACATATTTGGTGTATCACTCTTTATAATTTTATATTAAACTGAATGAATGCAAAAAAGCACTACATTTATGAAAATTGAAAACTAAATATCATTAGGCGCTAACGCATGGTTATAAGATTAGTGAACGAGGATGATGAATAACATTTATTTTTACGTCAAACAAGATCTACAAGATCTAAGAGTAGAATACAGTTTAATGTAATTCGGAATAGAAGATTTGCTATGAAATGATACACAAAATAATTTGATAAGTTTATGATTGAATTAATCATTGAATTAATTGAGCAATTAAAAAAAATTATATATCATTAAAATATAAATAATAAATATTTGCAAACACGGTGCCGTATAGATATACTCGATAGTCGATTGTAACGACTTGTATGTGGATGATGTATTATAATTTATAAGTTTTTAACGAATGTATACTACATTGTTCACATGCAAGATGATTCATTATTTAAGTGTCTAAATACATTCTTTATTTCGAAAAAGTTTTTTTTCATAATTTTATTAAATCATCGCAATACAAAATTTTTGAAAAAAATAATGATATTTTTTCAACTATCGTTAAACTTCTTACTTTTTTAAACAATATAATCTTTATTTTTAATTTCATATTCCTTAGCAGAATATTTAATACGTACCTACATATACCTAAAATATTGTAATGTAAAAAAAAACTGTAAAATTATTTACAAATCAAAAAAGTTTAATATTTCGAATGTACATTTTTAAGTTTAATATTACATAATATGTACAATGTACATTGTACATACAGTACAAATAATTATTTCTGAACAAAATAGAAAAAATAGTGATTTTATTTAAACTGCATTTCTTACACACAATCATAATCCCATTGATTATAAATACAATAAAAGTGTTTAAAATTATACTTTTGTAAAGCACAGAATATAGTTCATAATATAAATGATTGTTGTACGTTATATCTAAAATTAATCATATATAATATTTTTTTAAATTAATTTTACGTTTCCGAGGTACCTATTCATATTTTTTTTTCTAGTTTTAGTATTAAGATGTAGTACAAAATCCATTATATAATATTTTATCGTTAAAAATCGATTTTCTAAAATAACGAACAATTGAACCTGAAAAACAAATTTATTTTGACATTTAAAAAAAAAAATGTTGATATGATGCAATAAATACATTATATAATTGTACATACTATGTATCTTGTAAGAATTATAATAGTTAAGAGTAAAAACAGAATGAATCAATAAAAAAACAATTTCACTGCCCAAATAAAAGTATATACCTACTAAAACAAGTACTTAGGATATTTAAAAACATTATCTTAAAATTGGCCAGTTTCTCATCTCCGGTCAAATTAAAAGTTTCCTTTCAAAACCATTAATATTTTTCCACTTTGTTACCTATTAAATATTGTTTTTGTGTCAAGTACATTTTACTATGAACATACAAAAACCAATTAGTTTTTGTCAGTGGCTACAGGCTACAACCTGTATCATCTTAAAGTAAAAAATGTAGATACTAACAAAAAGTTAAAAAAGACTGATAAATATAATTTTTAAAAACTACCAAAATTAACGCTAAGCGTATATTTTTTAAGCATTGTCATGTTTAATATTTGATTATTGTAGTAACTAAACAACAGCCAAAAATTTCCATAGCGTTCTGTTAGATTTTTCGTCAAGCCAAAAAATAAGCAAATGTTAAGTTTTAAACCACGAATTAACAATATCAAAAATGCAACACTTCTGTGATACAATTTGAGTATCTCTTAAAGAGAAATAGCGTGAGACGTGAGTGTGTCAAAACAAGCGAACTTGCATTGTTTAGACTTCAAGAATTTTGGATATTTAAAAACATATTTAATTATGTAAATGTAAATATTAAATGTTATCAACGTAATTTTTTAAAACATATAAACTAATAAGATGGCCAAGATAAGTGGCAATATTCATATTGGTAATATCCTCGATTTAATTAACGATTAATACAATAATAATTTATCATTTTTCTTTATGTAATATACATAGGTATTCAGTATTATACAATCCTATAGAGTACTTGAGTAAAATTAATCAAATAATTTTTAAGTAGGTATCTACTCTAATACGTATTTCAAAGAAATTTAAAATAAATATCATTTAAATACATAGTTTCAAATTAACCTTTTCAAAGGTATAAATCTACTACTTAATTTTAAACACCATTATTTTAATTTTATATAAATTATTAAAGTGTATTGAAACTAAGAACCCTTTATGACAATTTGCACAATTTTTCAAAATTAATGTACAATAAAACATCATAAAAACCTGTTTAAAATTGATTTTAAAGTAAAAAAAAATTATATTCAACATTTAAGTATTTGTTTCTAAGATACTTAGTTGTGTTATTGAGTATTTAAATATGCATTTTTAATACTTTCTAAAATAAGTATCTATATTCTATACCTATACTAGGCAGAACATGAATACTTTTAAAAGTGTTTTTTATAAAACTGATATTATCAATACAATTATTATACTGGCTTTCCGTTTAAAACAATATAAACTTTACTTCTATTGTTTTTCTGTAGAATATGTTGATCTTTTTTTACAACAGCTAACATTTTTGTATAAATCACCCCCCCCCCCCCAAAAAAAAAAAAAAAAAGAAAAATGAATAATACTTCACCTTGACTGATGGATTTGGTAAATTTTAGTACTAAGTCTAGTATGAGATTCGAATTTGATGGTATTTAATATATGCACACTGTAAACTTGTATAAAGAAATGTGTATAGCTTATTTATATACGTATTTATAAACGGAATAGTATTTTTTTTATATTAAATATAATTAAATTTATTATTATTTGATTTTAATTTAATTAACACTGAAAATTTATATTACAGTATTATTAATATTATGTACATCATAATAGTATTAAAATTACATACCATGGTTCCAATATATGTTGAGCCTCATTGAATTTATTGTTAAAAAATAAATGTATAGCGATTTTTGAATCCGATAAAGCAGTATTCAAGTCCATTTTACAGTGCCTGAAAATAATAAAATTGATTTAAAAAAAAAAAAATTCATAAATAATTCAAAAACAATAAGTGAAAGTACATTAAATTTTAAATTTATTTTGTCGTTATTACTAATGCACTGCAATAGTTAATAATATAGTCCAAGGGTCACCAATTAATATTTTTGAAGGTCACATTAGGTATCTGAAAATTTTTCGTAGGCTATCAAAATTCTAAGTACATAATTAACATTATATATATTTGAAAAAATGAATCATAAATTTAATAAAAATAAAAAATTGTTTAGTGATATTACAAATATTTGAAAAAAGTTATTCTTTGTCCGCGAGCCGTATAAAATTTGTTCACGGTGATCCCTGATAATATAGTCTATCAAAATTATTGAAATTCGTACATGAAATTTATTAAACGTTACATTAAAATTTAGTCATCATCACAATGTCTTTGATAAATATATTACAAATATTTATTTATTACTGCGATTGTAATATCGTATACATAGACTGATAGGCATACACTGTATAAATTACTTCAATAAAATACGAGTGTAAAAAAAGAATGTTGAACTACAGACTATCAAAAAAACGAAATAGATTCTTAACATCAAATTACCTATAAAATAATGTAACTATTAGTTTCCTTGTACAAATAGGCATAAATATATTTTGTAAATCATGAAATAATAAACTAAATATAAGTTTATTAGTGTTTTAAAATCAAAACTTTTTATTAAAAATGGTCAACAACTTCATTAATATTAGTGAAATTTATTTAATTTATTATTTTTAAATCAAATCTATGGGAGACTTTGTCAGGTTTTTTTTATTGTATATTAATTTATCTATCTGAATTGTATTTCATATGTTTTTTTAATTTAAATCTTACGTTTAAAATTTTGTTATTTTTAAAATTAAAAATTTAATTTTGCTTGTTTTCCCTTTGAATTTTATTTCACATGAAATGATTATACAGACTGTTCAAATTAATTTCCGGCCAGTTTTGTTCTATAAAAATTACGTATGTATCTACAGTTTACTAGGCGATCAGTAGTGAACTAATGAAAAGTCGTAAAATACATCATAGATAGCTCCGAGCTCATAATTTAAAAAAAAAGTAATAAGATATATCTACAATATATTATATTGTCTACAAACAATTTTACATTTATTAACATAATTATTATAAAAAAAAAATCTTGTTTTAAATTTATTTTCATTACCAAAGAAATAATTTTTTTTTAATTTAGTTTTTAGTCATTTTGTTTTATCACATATTTTTATTTTAGATGAAGAGCAATGAATGTATTTATTTTATAATGATGTCTGTTTTTTATATATGTATATGTCTTTATACACAATAAGTGATCAAAAAAATGGCTTAATTTTCAATTTCAAGGTTGGTTTCAGATAGAAAATTGAATATAGTTTGTACTTAACTTTACAGAGATCAAAAGCAGTATTTTTCAAAATAATTGGAAAAACACACAAAAAATGAAGGAAAAACAAGAATTTTTTACGCAAATCCAGTCTTGTTTTTTTGGTTTGACTTGAAAATGAATAACTGTAGAAACTTTAAATATTAATTAAATAATTATTTAAGTATCATTATAGGTATCTTAAGAGAAATCATATGGCATTGGTTGATATTACAAGAAAACTAAGATTCCCCAATAACAATAGTATTTTGGATATTACCCATGCCTTACAGTAGAATGTTAAATTTGAATATGATTTAATATTTTCAATTAGACATATCTTTTTCCATTCTAAAGTGACCTGTACTTAGCCGAGGAACCACAGATGTAAATTATTTGAGTTCTGGGCTGTATTAAATAAATATCGGTGACATGTCAGTATATTTACAACAAAATATCCCAAAACCAAAATATTTCAGGAAAAAAATTCATGACGGTACATCCCATGTAAAAGTTAATTTAAAACATGAACCTTTATCATAAAAATTGTGATTAGAAATACAATAATCATTATTTATATAAAGTGATTAATAATTATGTATTAATCGTATTTTTGATCATAGTATCGAGTGTTGTGAGCTAACCACTTTAGTTTTAATTTAATGACACTTTTTTGAATTAAAATTAATTTTTAATAATTAAATATATAATAATAATAATTTTATGTTTTAAATATAAAATTTTCATTAGATTTTGTAATAAAATGTTTTTCTATGAATATTTTTACGTAGAACCATAAATACTGTATCTCTTATAGAATAAATCAAATTGTGTTAGATTCTTATTCAACGAGTAAGCAATGGTTATTAGTAACTTATTACTCATTAGGTACACAATCTATAATTTATTATATTCCGGGTAGATTCTCCCTATTCAGCAACCATCGCCAACCATAAAAGGTTTACCAGGATCCCCAAGGTGTCAAGTTACACCTAATTTGCGACACCTATATTTATTTAGCTAACTTCTCATTTTGGTCTTGGATAATTTGTGCCACAATTTTTAAAAACCAATTTTGATAATTTAAAATTTGCATCACATTAGACAGATAAAAATACATTATGTAATTAATAAATTCTTTTACCAACAAAAATTATGATTCGCATCATTTTTCACCTTATCAAAATTGTAATTTGTGCAATTTTATTATGATAAAAGTGTAATATACATGAATATTTTTAAACTTATTGTTATATTTTTTAAATTGTTCATTACCTACATAAATTTCAAAAAATATATTCAAGTTTACTAAATAATAAAAATAATATTATCCGAACTAACTTAAAATGTCAATAAAAATAATGTTATGAATTTACGATAAATTGCTTTTTTAATTTTAGTAATTAAAACTTATGAGGAACTTATTGTATTAAATAAGAAAAAAAACCTAATTATTTTAAAATCAATAAAATTATCGTTGCAAATATAAACAGATTATAATTTTTAAAATAAAGGTGTAACATTTATAAATTTGAATAACATAATAATAAATTTTAAATTACACACATAGTACAAATTAATACATATATTAATATATTGGATTATAAAAAAAAATAATTAAAAAAGTAAATAAGTACAAAACCACATCAGACAAATATCGTAGCAATATATCCGATTTGCTTGCAGTTCATAACAAAACTCTAGTAATCTAAGTTTAACTTTAACCCTATACCAAGCTATTTTTTTGTGTCACGTTTGATTATAGGTATGAATATAGAAAAAAAATACTAATACCAACACAAATAAATTATAGTTAATATTAATTTATATTTAAACAAATTTTCAGTAAATTTTATAATTTTAATATTTATAATAAATATATTTAGTATCAACTGTAAACTAACTATCTACATTTATAATCGTTTTTCGTACATAACGCTTTATATTTTTAATCCATTTATTATTTTACATCCCATTTTTAAACATGAAATAAAACTTTTTTTGAGTTTATTATTTCATTATTATCTACGAATACATAACAAAAATAAAAATTAATAAATATATGTTAATGCAATTAGCAGGAGTATGAAAAATATTAATTTCCACTATAGTGCTCAATTAGTTCTTTCAAAATATACAAATATCTATATTATTCAAATTGTGGTATTCTGTTAAACATAAATTTACGAGTTTCTGTAAGTTTAAGTTTGTGAAGAATCTGTAATAGAGTAGCTATGTTTAAATATTTGACTATACAATAAGAATTCCATAAATATTTCAAATAAACTTGATATCAATTTTTCTGAAATTAGTAGGTACTACGTAAGAAAGATTTCAATACCTAATGTTTATTATCGCTTAAAGTATTATCATGAAAAAAAAAACATTATTTGCTTCTTGCTCTGAACAAAAAACAATATAAAAAACAAACAACTAAAATGAAATTACATAATTATTGCTATTTAAGTACAAAAAAGTCTATATAGTCTATTTCACGAAAGAAAGGTACTGCATTTTGACATAAACACCCCGGAATCGGTTCGTACTTTATCAGCGTAAAACGGTACCTCTCTTTCGTGTGTAGATTATGAATACTAAAGACTTACATAAAAATATGTTGCACAATTTATTTATTCTTGTCTTGAATCTTTTTTCCACAAAATTATTATAATATTTAAACAAGATTAAAGTACACAATTTAGATAAATATTATAATATAATAAATTAGTTAATAGGTAACAATCAATTTTTATTGAACAAAAGCTAAAATTTGAGACATAAAATTATAACTATACTTAGATTTATCAGTAGAGTTTTAGAAAATTAAATTGATATAGTTTGTAATAATAACAGTGAATAATTTGCTAGAAAATAATTTATGTATCTATAAAAAAATAATATTGAATTCTTAATAATGACGAGATTGATACTGAATACGAGTGTTCACAAAACAAAATACTAAAATACGAAGACTTTTTAAATTGAACATTAAATTAAAATACAAATATGAAGATTAAATTAGGTTTTTATTTAATCTTAGTTGTGCTGTAAGTCGTCAGTATATTTTAATATTAAATGACCCCGAACACGTGTTAATTTGTTATAAGCACAATAAAAGAAATACTAAAAGTATATGTATAATAGTTATCAGAAAATATTTGATTTATACTTTATCAATAACAGGTCTGTACAATAAAAACTAAACAAGATTAATGTTTACAATTTATCGCATTAAACATAACAAGTTATAAAAATTATTAAATAGATCATCTACGTAACATTATTTTTCTCGAAGTATTTTATTATTAATGATACATTATTATAAATGCATGACAACATGATATATGTATACTAGTCAGTAAATTTGTTTATATTCTTCTTTTTTAAATTTTTATTTCTAGTTCAAAAAATTTGAAAATATAATAAAAGGTTGATCATAAGTTATTTTAACTGAAATTAAAAAAAAAAAAATTATTTATTCAACCAAATAGTTTGAAAATGTAAAATAAAGTTTCTTATACATTTTTCTTTGGACATTATTCAAACATAAAATAACGACTTCTACTTAAAAGTTTTTAATTGTTTAATGATGTTA